GACCATGTGCATGGTCGGCGAGCGTCCTAACCACTATGCCACCGACGCACACAATTCCATCATAGAGTAAATTTATTTGATAAAAAACCACACAGTGACACAGGATTATTTACTGATGACGTTTCGAGCACAACTTATGACTCATAGTTATCGTCCCACCTATCTTTCTAACCTCATTTATGTAATTCAACTATCTCTTATCTTTTAATTTTATTGGTAGTAAATATTTTTTTCCTATCTCTGGTATTGGTGTTGAGTTATTCCTATTGTATGCATTAGGTGTAGATTTCATGAACAAAGATTTTAAGTAATCAACGTCTGCCTCCCACCTACCTATATTTCTTTTAAGATCTGTAGCTCTTTGCCAACCTATCGTGTGGTTGTATGTTAATGCAGGCACTGAAATCTCTGAGTTCCTTTCTACATCACTTAACTTCCTGGTGTCCGTCATTCTACACTTAGCTAAATTCTTATGTTCCGATAATCTGACTACCCCGCGTCAACCTACTAGTTTGACCTATGCAGTTGACCTCACAGTCATTACAAGGTATTTTGTGTATTATATCATTTTGTCTAATTGGGTTAATAGGGTCCTTCAGCCTAAAGAGCTTATCCCTGAGTAAGTGTGCAGGTTTAGATATCAGTCTAATTCCTGCTTTGTAAGGAATCCTACGTAGAGTTTCAGATGTCTCTTCCTTATACAGTAAAACTGTAGATGTCTTAAATTCTTTCTTATTTATGCTACGGGCAACAGTTTCACTACTTGTCTTTTATTGTCAGCCTTTGTGATCCTCTTGGGGAATTTTATGGAAGAGTTATTTAGCGGCCAACGCTTCTTCTATCTACTTAATTTCATCATTTAGGTTTTGAGATTGCTTAGTTTGTTAGACACTAAACTATCCCTGCCTTTACATATAATAGATGAGATAAATTAAAGCCTAAATATCTATTAGAGTGTGTGGACTTTTTCTGAACGCTGGTGCATTCTCTTTGTCCGTTTTCTGGTTCAAATAAAATTTTTATTCCTTATGTAACGACGAAGACAAGGGCCAGGAAACAGATCGTTTATTGAGAAAATCAACAGATACCTATAGATTTTTATGTACACTGTTATTCGTTATTTTAGCAGGGAAGGAACGTCTTCTGATTGGTTGTTTTCCTGCTGAAGATTAGTCTGTCATCTATTTGTGGCCATTTCTTAGACAGTCCGGTCATATACCTGCGAATCATATCCGCCCACGCTAAGTCTGCTGTTATTGGTTGTTGAGTTAGTCTTTGTTCTTGTTTTTTTCTCATGACCAAGATTTGGGACGTAAACATTGACGTCAATCGCTGTCTACCAATTTTGGCTAGCAGACAGCTCTCACCACACCTATACTATTGAATGTATATGTATCTTTAAAATAATAATCAAATAATTATATTGTATCACTGTATGGATTTATCAAATAAATTTTCTTTATGAGGGATTAAATTATTCAAATGTGGAGATATAACGCTTCTCTATATTCCGTGTTTAGTATTCCCATGCAACTTGGGAATTTAGATATGATAGAGAAGATTTCTAGCTCAGGTGGATGATTTTGATGTGGTTGTGTTCTCTGAGCTGGATAGTTAATTTGCGAAGCTTTCATCGCCCTGCCCTACTAGGCAACATCTTCAGCGCATACTTCAATTTCTTGAAGTGAGCTTTTAGATTTCTCCACGAGTTTATTAGTCATCTCTCCTGGTGGTGACCTTGAACGTGATTGGTTGTTTTTGTGTGTTTTCACACCCTGTAGGCTACTTGTATTGGAAGTGATTGTTTCCTTGACTTGAACTTTGACCCTTTGTGTGTGAGGTTTCCTTCTTATCGGTTGGTAAATTTTGTCAGTCTCGATGTGTATATAGATTGATGACTCACTAGAATGCCAAACTTCTAAAAATTCTCTAGCATTCTTGTTGTTTCCTCTGCCTAATATTTGAACGTTGTCCCAGTGGTATTGATGTCCGTGGTTGTCTGTATTTAGTGATATGAGGGAGTGGATATCATGTCTTTTGACGGCTAGCTTATGATCGTGGATACGAAGACGAAGGGGACGCCCACTTTGGCCAAATGCGAAAAACACCACACAACACTACTGGATGAAGATATTTTTTTTAAAGTAGACAGAAAACTACAACAACAAAACAAGCAGAATGTAAGTAAGAACTCACGTTTATTCCGACTGCGTAACCCTCTACCCAACGCAGTATTTTCATCTCTGAAAATAAGACAAGTTATCAAATTAATCTAAAACAATTTTAACTTCGTATGTATCGAGTAGGATACAAAGATTTCCTATGATCTATATAACTTTATAAAGCTTCATTTCATATTACTATTATTTAATTTATTCTTTTGCTCTCCCAGTGGAACATAGGGCTGTGAGCTAGGGCTTTGAAGTTTCAGTAGCAATGGTTCTATCTCTACAGGATGAGATTGCTAGCCTTACGACCAACCTTCCCTCTTTACCGGTATTACTACCCGCTTAGCGAGGTAAGGGAGTCTGTCGGTCGGGGATCGAACCTAGGACCACTTTTCCTTGGTTGGCGAGTGTCAAACCACTGAACCACCGACTCACCTTCGTTCATTCATTTGATATAACACACAGTGAGTGATACACCATTAATAACTGGACGGTGTTTGGATGATAATTTACTGCTCATTATCATATCAATGTGTTCACCCAGCTTCATAATTTACTTTATATATTTTTTCTCCTCCCCCCCCCCGTTATTCATTGTACTTTTCCATATATCCGGTGCAGACATTGCATGACTTCGATTGCACGTGTCCAAAGTTGATTCGATGAACAAAGACTCAGTGATTAACCCGTCTCTTTTTAATACTGTCACCCTATCCTATCCTATTGTGTGAATACATTGCAATGGGAGAGCTGTATTCTAGATTATTTAACTTACCAGGATCGATCATTCTAGGTCCGATAATCTGATTAACCCTCGTCTACAAGTTTCACTAATGTAATTTACCCATCCCCCAGTTATTACATGGATATTTAGTAAATTATATTATTTTTCTTAATTGGATCCATTGGGTCCTTGAGCCGACAAAGCTTATCTCTGAGAGAGTCATACGGCTTAAATATCACCCTAACTCTAGCCTCATTAGGCGTCCTGAGTAGAGCCTCTGATGTTCCTTTTCAAGATTGTTTAACTTCATTATTTAAATCTTCTGGCTTACTATTAATTAGGCTCCTGGTCCAGATAATATAGACACTTAACTAAACCTACCTACACCGATTCTAGATGGAATGAACAAAAAGTCTAAGTATTTATTGGAATGCGTCGGTCAAAGAAATTGCATATGTGAAGGACTTCATACCGATGGAAACAATTCCACGATAGGGAAAAAAGAAGAAACATTAAGCAGAAACTAATGTCTAGCCATCGATATTCGCCGGGGGTGCGTGGGTGGTTCAGTGGTTCATTAACAGAATGCTGGCTAACCAGCCGCATGTGAGGTCCGCGTTCGACCGGAAAAGAGGAATCAGTGAGTTTTGACTAGTGTGTGAAACGAATGTTTCAGATATGCGGAATCAGTTGCCGATAGATTCAACTAGAATGTTTAGAAGTTATTTATCAGCAATAATATATCCATATGTACTTACGTTTCGGATAAATTTGCCTTAGAAGGTAAACTTTCTTTGCTTTCTATTGGAGCCGACAGTGGTATAGCTGTGAATGCACTTGTTGAGCTGACACGCCTGAGTTTCAGCTTAAGACTACCACCACCATGAGACTGAGATGACGATGATGGTGAATCTTTGTCTGCTGAAGTCATACTTGGTGAATCATTGGTGATCAACGATTGTATTTAATTTAGAATCACTGAAAAAAAGAGAATCGTACAGAATAGAGATATGAACAGAAAGGTAGCGGGTCAAACGAACTCACTCCATGTAACACGGCTACATAAACTACCTGCTACGGTAAACGGTGGGTAGGTAGACTTCGATCTTCCTCTCAAAATGCTCTCATTTGCTTACGCACTTATAACTTCTACCAGGAATATTGTATTCATTGTCTTCACGCCACGGTGGGAATGTTCCTCACAAAAGTTAAGGTGCGGAATTCGAACTTCTGGAGCTTACAATCAGACTAGTGGACATGCTGGTCTACATCTACAGGAGCTGGGAAACCTTGATTCCAAAAACCTATGATATACATAGGACCGAGAATCCAAACAGATCAAATGGCATATGGATCTGTCTTGATCACCGGGAGCCATTGGTACTCAGCATCCTGAGAATCATCAGTCAATGACTCTAACCAACTATCGAAGACTTCATGGATTGATGCTTTGTTTTGGTTTTGACCACTGGTATCACGCCAGCGGGTTGATTGATGACGAAATCCTAGCACGGATACAAAAGGCTCACTTCGCATATGCCACTTTACGCCGTCTCTGGCTTAGTAGACGTGATATCCGGCCGGCTATCGACCAAAGGGCGTGTGTTCTTCTCAACTGCTCACTCTGTCCTCCTTCATGGCTGTGAGCGAGACATGGACATTGAAAGTGGAAGACATGAAAAGACTGGCTAGCTAGCTGTCTTTGATCATAGGTGCCTGAGTTCTATCTCCCGTGTTAGTTGGTGGTATAATAAGGTGAGCAATATTGAGGTTAGGCTTCGGTCGAGTGCTAGGTAAGGAGGGGGAATCGATAGACGAGGCTGTGAAGTTACATCGATTGACATGGTTAGGACATGTGTTATGTACGCATGCCTAGCCATCGCCATCCTCGACGGGCAATGTTAGCTAATTGGGATTGATCAGGTTGGAAAAGAGCCAGTGGTGGTCAAACCAAAACATGGCTTCATCAGTCAATGAAATCTTTGACAGTTGATTTAAGCCACGTAGGAAGGTGTAGACTGGCTTCCTGGTTGGTATCCTCGGGATGGTAAAACCAATGAAAGCTGGAGACAATTGGTGATATGGCTGAAAGTCTTTCTCAATGACTGGCGCAGATGCATCCACTCCTTGTGATCTATAATATCCAAAACACTATATTCTCCTTTTTGAATCTTTCTCTACTCTTTTCTCTGGCTTTCTATGCTACGTGGAGTGTGGCAACTCAAACTGCTGCACATCTGTACAAAGTTCTTCGTTGAAACCAGTCAGTCAGTCAGTCAGAAAACGTTCAAAATTTCGAAAACGATGAAAGATGCGTATGCATAGAATTTGATACTAAAAGACCATTGTACACGCGTTTGCATCTACACTTCCACTCTGAATATGTGAAGCATAAAGTTTAGTTGCACACAATTTATATATTGAAATGTGACCACCTATTGATATCAGTTAGGGAAGCATTGAAAACTAGGAAGTACACTGGATGGTTGTTCCGTCCTTGTGTGTGTGACTCTTCAGAAGTACGAACCCACGACTCTACTAGGGATCGAACCGGGGTTATGAGGACAAGCTGGTTGACCGTCCAGCTTATTGGGCCGTAATTCAATGATCCCTGAATTCTAACTTCTCTTAGTTATAGTATATTCAGTTCTGTTTACTTTAGCAACGCATATTAAGCTTTCAAAACAATTATTACTATGCTAATTACATACTTTTCTGAAGGTGTAATCTGTACAGTATTAGTAGTAGTAGTAGGAGTAATAGATTTATTTGAGTCAACTGACTGCGTTGAACTAACACAATCTTCATCCTTTACTTCTTTCTTCTCTTCATCAGAAAGTTTTGAACTGGGCGCTGGACTGTCTACAGATTCAAGTTCCTTGGTTTCCTTGTCAATCTTTGTAATATCGTCTTCCTCTTTAAAGTCTATGAAAAAAATTACATAAAACAAACAAGTTGCATGAAATATTTTATAATTTGTATAATTATGTGTCATAAAATGATTTAATGGATTGATGTTTTTAGAATAACCGACAAGCCTTTATTTCCATCTCACCCTCGGATGCTAACCCGTTGTTTCTTTTTCGAGTTCCCCTCGGGTATCTGACGCAGGATATCAGTCAGCGGTCTCCTTAGCGTATAATCAACCCATATCCATTTCATTCCGCATATTTGTTGGAATGTAATCACTGCCTATACTCAACACTGGTGTTATCATATGGAGTCAATACCCCTATTGGTGTAATTGTGAGGCTTTTATTGTCTTTGTAGACAACATCTTCAGCGAACACATCAATTTGAAGTGAACTTTTTGAATTCTTCACAAGTTTATCGGCCATCTCTCCTGGTAACCTTGAACATGATTGGTTGTTTCTGTACATTCTCTCACCCTCCAGTCCACTTGTACTGCTTTTCAATTATCAAGTCAACAAAACCCACAATACCGATTATAAGTGGACCGGAGGGTGAGAGAATATACAGAAACAACCAATCACTATCGAAGTTACCCAAAGGGATGGCCGATAAACTTATGAGGAATTCAAAAATTTCACTGCAACTTGAAGTATGCGCAGGGAAGACACAAATACACCCATTGATATAAGAATAGAACTTGTGCACTGTGATAGAGTATAATTCCATTATGGGTAAAGTTTATTTTGGTAGTCACACAAAGTTATACAGTAATATTTACTGAATACCACGTTTCGAGCACAATTTATTGCTGCTCATAATCATATCAAGTCAATCACACAATTTTCCAGCTTCGTTTATATAATTCCACTATTGATTGGTAGTAGTATTTTCCATATTTCAGGTATGAGTGATAAGTCATTCCTGTTGCACGTGTTGGGTGCACACTACCGTTTATAAAAAGCCAAAGCATTCTAATAGACATTTAAACTTTAATTCATCTTATCCGTTAACTGCCAAGGCAGGCTTAGTTAAGTGTAGCAGTAGCACTAAGCAGTACAAAAAAAAGACCTAAATGATGAAATAAAACAGATAGAAGAAGCGTTGGTATCAAATAACTATCCTATAAAATTCATTAGGAAGATCAGAAAAGGCCAAAAGCAAAATAAAAACAATGGGGAAACTAATAATGATAACATAAGTAAGAGAGAATATAAGACATCTATGGTTATACCATATACGGAGGGGACATCTGAGACCCTACGTAGGATTTAATTATAAAACTTGGGCAGCGCATTGTAAATAAGATTTTATTTTGATAAATCACACAGTGTTATACAGTAATATTTACTGAATACCACGTTTCGAGCACAAATTATTGCCCATAATCATATCAAGCTACTCACACAACTTTCATGCTTCATTTATATACATGAGTGGAATTGATCATTAGACATTTGAATAAAATCAGTACAAGATAAAGTACATTCAGAAATAATAATAAGAGTGTTATTGATCAAATACAACCAGATGGGAAATAAGACGAGTGTTTTTATAGTCAAAATAAGTTACTTGTTAGAATGTTATAATGTCCGTGAATTGAAATAGAATTTTAAGATTATTTATTATCCTCCTCTGATTTGACTGAATCCTGGTTCAGTGAGTCTACATCCAACACATGCAACAGAAATGACTCAATGAAGATACCACGGACATTATAACATTCTAACAAGTAACTTATTTTGACTATAAAAACACTCGTCTTATTTCCCATTTGGTTGCATTTGATTGATAACACTCATATTATTATTTCTAAATGTACATTATCTTACATTGATTTTTATTCAAATGTCTAATCACTTCCACTGATGTATATAAATGAAGGAAAAAGTTGTGTGAGTAAATTGAAGTGACTATTAGCAATAGTTTATGCTCTAAACGTCACCACCTACGTAGGATTCTTAATAAAGCAGGGATTAGAGTAGCATTCAAACCTACAAACTCACTCAGGTAGGACAAGCTCTGCAGGTTAAAGGACCCAGTTGACCCAATTTGACAAAATAATATAATTTACAAAACACCTTGCAACGACTGTGAGGTCAACTACATAGGTCAAAACTAGTAGGTTGGGCGGGGGGCGGGGTAGTCAGACTATTGGAACATAAGAATTTAGCTAAGGTAAGAATGATTGACCCCGAGAGGATAAGTAATTTAGAAAAAAGCTCAGCTATAGCACTGCATGCATTAACACACAACCACACAATAGGGTGGGACAGAGTCGAAATTCAAAGTAATGTAGGTAGGTGGAGGAAGAGATTGATTACTGAATCCTGGTTCATAGAGTCTACACCAAATAAATGCAATAGGAATGACCCATCTATCATACCAGAAATATGGGAAATATTACAGCTAATCAAATCAAGAGATGAGAAATAGTAGAACCATATTAAGGAAGTAGGAAAGTTGTGTGAGTACCTTTTTATATGATTATGAGCAGCAATAAATTGTGCTCGAAACGCGGTCATCAGTAAACATTACTGTATAACACTGTGAGACTTTCTCAAAGTAAATTTTACCCATAATGGAACCAATATTACCCAACTGAACCACAGATCTTCTCTATCATACTCTAAATGATTACCCGTTACTTTAGAACCAGAAGCATGCGGAAGATAAATTTAAAACGTGTTCAAAGTAATTAAAATGAAATGTTCCATTTTACATCACAAAATTCCCTAAAGCATACAATGAACTATGATGTCACCTCATGATGAAATCCAGAAATCAATTAATCAATACTTGAAAATACCAAAGAATTGAAGTGGATCAAGTGAATAAATCTAACTATGAAATTAAAATTGTAAAATAATTGTACATCATTTATTGATGAACTAGGTTTCCGAAGGAAAGTCAGTTTCGTCAAACAGAAAGAGAATTAGTGTGTTCTATGAGTGTAGAGCACATGGGACAACTGCTTGACACCAGCCATAAACGGCTTGTTTCAATTGGTTTTTGATATTGCATCCGTATTAAGAATCTACCACAGGCTACGAACCACCGCAAGGTAATTAGGGATGTACAATTTTTGGGATCGACCTTTTTGACCTCCATCTCCAAAGGCATGAGGCAGCATAACTAAAGGAAACATATCTTACTGTATGGTGAAAGGTGTCTGCAAGCCAAAATTGGTAGACAGCAATTTACGTCAATGTTTACGTCCCAAATCTTGGTCGTGAGAAAGAACAAGAACAAAGCTTAACCTTGAGGAACTCAACAACCAATCACAGCAGACTTAGCGTGGGCGGACACGATTCGCAGATATATGACCGGACTGTCTAAGAAACGGCAACAAAGAGATGACAGAATAACCTTCAGCAGGAAAACAACCAATCAGAAGACGTTTCTTCTCTGCTAAAATAACGAATAATAATGTACATAAAAATCTATAAATATCTGTTGATTTTCCCAGTAAACGATCTGTTTCCTGACCCTTGTCTTCTGTCGTTACAACTGCTGTTACATCCCTATTCCCCAGCAATACAACTTCGCCCTCAAACCTCCCAAACAGAGTGTAAACGACTTTCACTATGATGGTAACTGGTTTTAGCCTGATTGGTCTCAAAACAGCGTTTCTGGATGGTAGAACCACCTGCAGGAATATTACTTCCATCCAGTATAGCTCGGTTACGTTATGGCGACTCTAAAGAATAGGAGCCCAAACCGAAACGACCTACGAACACACAAACGACCTTGAGAAACCAATTAGCTGACTGTGTTGTTTCTAGAAGTAATTATGGATGCTCTACACCTTTTGCGTTGTAAATTCGCCCCGGATCTTGTTTTTGATTACTGTTTGGATAAGGGACTGATAGCAACGTCGGAAATTTATCAGTGTGGAGGTGATATGCGGATACCAAAATACACAAAGTCCATTGATAGGTTTGTGTACAGGTGTAATGAGTGCCGGAGGAGAAAATCAGTTCGTTCTTTTTTAGTTTACAGATCCCTTAGGCACTTTCTTCTCAAAGTCTAAACTACCCTTAACAAAAATTTTAATGATCTGTAATTTCTGGATACTGAACAGACCAGTTACAGCAACGGCTTATGAAACGGAAAATTCAGAAGTGTCTGCAGTGCAGTGGTACCAATACTGCAGAGACGTATCGTCCTGGAAAATGAACAGCCTAACTCAAGTTCTTGGAGGAGTTGGCGTAATCGTTCAAATTGTCAGTTGTCGAATCTCGGGTATATTCATCATGTAGTCAACCACACAAAGTTTTCGCAATCCTTTGGATGGAACTCACACTAATTCAGTCGAAAGTTTCTGGAGTCACCTAAAAAACGGATTAGATTGTTGAATGGACCTAGAAATCCAATGATATACAGTCATCTTGATGAGTTTATGTATAGAACTTGGTTTAACATCAGTATGAAGACACCTATGAGAAATTGGGAACTTTTTTTGCAACATATACGAGAACGTTATCCATTGTAACTATTTTTGAACATTGCATTACTTTTATATAAACGATTTTTTACAATTACGCGCCTTTTTTGAGCCTCCTGATTGGTCAAAGTTGTCCTTGACAAGATCGTTTGTGCGTTCGTAGGTCGTTTCGGTTTGGGCTCCTATTCTTTAGAGTTACAAAATGCAAGGCTGACCACTATGTCAAGGTAGCAGCTATCGGTCATGAATCACATTAACACTGATTACAACAGAATTTTAGATTTAAAAAAAGATTTCATTAAAAATTACATTCATAACAGCTAACTTCAGTGACGAAATATGTAGTGTGAAGGGGTAAAAAAAATAATAATACGATAAGCATACACACTTACCATCTTGTAGTGGAGATAATTGTACAACTGGTATCTTACTGAAATCTGCCTCATGTAACAATTCTGTAGCATTACGAAGTAATCGAAAACTACGTGGCAAGCTAGCCGCTCTTCTTGACCAAATTGTCTGCGATTTATTCTTTTTAGCATGTACTGCTTTCGTAGACAGCTGAATTGCACGATTCTGAAGGGATAATTTCTTCGATTGAATGTTTAACTTCCCTTTAGCTGAATATTTATTGATTCGATTGTATTTAGCATAATAATGCAAGGGGATTACAGTGTCTTCTTTTTCAACCTCTGGGCATAAATTAACCTGAACTTTTGGTTTAACTGACGCACAGTGTTTAGTTCCTTCAAACTGTTTCTTAGCCTTATTCACCACCTTTCCCTGAGTATTATTATTTGTTACTTTTGATTTGGTCAATTCACTGAGATCATTATCATTAGATGAGACATGGGATTGTGTTATACCGGTTTCAGGCTTTTCAAAATCCGCCTGTTTAGACGAAGAATTATCACATTCATCAAGGAGAGCATTTGTTGTTGTACAATGAGGTTCAATTAATTCAGTCTGTTCATTATCATTCCCATTGAAGATAATATTCACCTTGGAGTTTTTAAAATGACTGTCAGCACTGGATGTTGTTGTTGTGCCTAAAGAAGGCTCCTCATCATTTCTTTTGTCGTCTTCAGCTTTTGTTATATGATTAGGCGAATCGCATGAATCAGACATGTCATCACACAAATCGATAAATAATGGCTCAGCTTGACTGTTATTATTATTAGTAGTATTACTATTATTACAACACTGTGAATTAGAATCACTTACTATACTAGTTCCCTGTTCTAAATCATCTGATATATCAGGTGTTGGCAGTGATGAATTGTTTCGTGTTCTAGGCATTTCTGGTGAATCGTTGTAATCGTTGCAATTACCATTATCATTATTATTATTATCATGTATTGTTGTATTATTTGGAGGAGGTGAAGAAGTATCCTTGTGACTAACATCATCATGTTCAACAGTTGAATTTTTTTTCGGTGTATCAACTGTCAGATCTAAACGGACAAGTTTCGGAATCTCTTCAACTTGTTCCATTTTTTTCTTTTGTAACAACTCACTGTCGACAGAATAATCCAGAGTATTTTCAGCAGTGATTTTTGTAGATAATTTACTTGAACCAACATCACTACTACTGTTACTACTACTACTTGTAGTATGCGATTTTACTGTTAATGGTTGTTCTACTCCATTGAATACGCGTCGACCAGATGAAGTACTGTTGCTTATTTCACTGCATTGACTTGTTTTATCATCATCACCATTATCATCATCATCATAATCATCAATGTCGACATTTGCATCACCTACACTACAGACATCATTCGTAGTCAATTCAGTTGAATAGGATGTTGTACTACTACTACAGCTGCTACTACTACTACTTCTACTTCTGCAACTGCTTGAATTACACCCGGTGTCTGATTCACAATCACTAACGGGATTATCATCAATTGTTGTTACAGTTGTTGTTGTTGTCGTTGTAGTAGTAATGACAGTATTATTATTATTATTACTAGTAGTAGTATTAATAATAGAGGTAGTAATATTCTTAGTAGTTGTCATACATGTCACACATGATGTAAAAGCTTCGTCTATAAACTCTGAAATTTCAGTTGAAACAGGTGAAACAGTATTTCCATCGATACGTTGTTGATTAATATCTCCTGGAGCTGTAGTTGCTTCATTCAATATATCATGTAAATCTTCCACTGTAGACTCATAGCCTTCTTTATCTTTTTCAACGGTTTCAATGTAATCCAATTCAGCTTGATATTCATCACCATAGTCACATCCTTCCTGATAATATAGAAATTAAAATTTCAGCCATGATCAGAAAATAGTGTAAGTGAAAAAAAGAATGTTGACCAGAAATATCAGATGTGCGTGTTCATTTTATAACCTCAGAAATGACACACTGAATGTATTTAATTCAATGAAAAACGACAAAAGTGACCAGTAGGGTGCAGGAGGTCGGGTGTGAGGACAAATACTCGCCGAAGACATTGACTAGGGGTCGCGCAATGCCGTGAATTGGCAGAAACTAGAATTCATGGGACATTGGATCGGGTCCCAGTGGCTTAACGGTATACGAGCTCGCCTTGTAAACAGGTGCTGGGTTCGAATCCCGGTGGGTGCGTACTGATGAAGAGTCCCAAACTAGGACGAAACAGCTGTCCAGTACTCCCAGCTGGTTTTCCAATGATTCTCTAACTAATGTCAGCTCATGATGAAAATCCTGTAAACAAAAAGAAAGCCCTGAAAAGTTTAAATATGTTTTGATATTTGTCGTTGGAGGGGTCGGGAGTTCGGGGTAATGGAAAAACAAGGGATCAATGAACTACGTTTGAATTCTGCAGCACTGCAGCAACAAGGAACGACCTAATGTCCAACAAATATGCTGAAGGAAATAGAAATGGATCAAATGCACGCTGAGGAGACTGCTGGGTGGCATTGCCCGCGCCAAGCCCTCTAGTAGAACATGAATAAGAAATGATGAGTTGGGCTTCTGAGGATGACATGGAGGAGATGAGAACTTATGATCAGTCCATGGAGCCAGTTACGAGGATATTAGCGAAAATGATAAAATGGAGATGTGCTACCAGTGCACATCGGTGCAAAGTTCTATGTCGAAAACAGTCTTATTCTGAACTCAGAAACTACAGGAATTATATATATATATATATATATATATATATATATATATATATCCAGTACTATTATCTTCACACATCAGCCGACTGGTAATCACAGGACTCAAGAGATGGAGATATATCTAAAATACAGTTAATCGTTCCAACGAATTTGTGAATCCAGCTACAGAAACGTATACCATTTCTATGGTGTCCTGTAGTTTGCAGTTAAGGAAGAGAATATGTGCAGTCCGCGGATACGATATGAGATGTGCAGATACAACGATGAGTTGTTTTGACTTTAATAAAAACAAATCTATGAGGACATATGAACAGAATTATACGTTTATTTATATGTTTGGGAGTTGTCTATATTTACAGGTTTGATCACGAGCTGACATCAGTTCGACAACTACTGAAAACCAGGCAGTAGTGGATAGTTGTTTCGTCCTAATTTGGGACTCTTCAGTTCACACCCAGGATCTCCCGGTCGAGTTAGAAGACCATTCAAAGCTGTTAGGACCCGATCTCATCGTCCATGAATTCAAAATTCTGCCAAATCGAAACAAATAGCGCTATCCCCAGTAAATGACACAGACGATGAACTATTCTCCTAGCTAACTAACTTGGTGGACGCGGTCCACTTTTGAGTTAATCCTCCGCATATTCATTCACTTGGTGATATCCGTTTGATAACAGACAACGAGTACGTAGATCTAATAGGTAGAACAATAATGTACTCAAAACTTGATAACCCATTCACGGTACTATCTTGCCATAGAGTCTTAAAACTAGGAACTGATTTTTTACTAGTTCGAAACTAGATGTTATTTCGAGACAAAATTTGTTTCGAAGAAATTTATATACTGGTTTCTTGGAAAGATGAACTTTAAAACCGGTGAGGAAAAGACAAACACATACAACCCAACAGTAAATGTTCTCCTTTTATTTAATTCCTTTGCATTTCGGGTGGGACATAGGACTTCAAGCGCTGAGCCTTGAAGTTTCAGTAGCAATAGTGTCATCCTTATAGACAGTGGGGTTACTAGCCTGACGCCCGACCTTCCCTCTTTGCCGAGCTTAGTACCAGGTAGGTGAGAGTGCGTCGGCCAGGGATCGAACACCAGACTACGTGAGGCATGTGAGGTTAGCGAGCATTCTACCGTCGCACCACCGAAAATGTCCTATTTATTATATTAATTTAGAAAAGAATGAATTGTAAACAACAAAAAAAGAAGCGATTAAAAGAGTTATTGCATAGCAAAAGGTAACACTAACTTGAACAGCCATTGTTTCGTCATAAATCGCACCAGCATATGTACATATAAATGTGCCCTTTGGAATAGCATTCAAAGCACGAACACCCCAACCCCTTAGAAAATAAAAAATACACATACATATGCAAACGTTGATAATTTCCAATGGGTAAAAAAGAACAGTATAACATTTTATTACTGATAAACTAATTCCAGTCAACACTAAGAAACAATGGGGAAATTTTTAAAAAAATACATTAATAAACAAACGAATAATAATAATAGTAATAATAATAAATAATAGTACATTACTTGCGACTAGTTTTGAACACTTGTAGCCTAACCCATAATCCTTGTTGAACTACTCGATTACTACATCGACGATCACAACGACAACCAGAATTACATTCATATATTCCACCGACTGTAAACTGTCCCAATCGACGATAACGATAGCCTGCTTGGCTATCAACTGTACCATTTGGATTTGTTAATGAGCTAGCCTCAACTGTAAGGATAATAATAGTAATAACAAGTAATAATATATAATTTATTTTAACTGATAAAACAATAAAAAATAACAGCATAAACAATAATGATTATCCAAGAGTTATGTAATTTAGTGGATGGTGGGTGACTACCAGTGGGTTCCAGGATGATGCTCACTACGTCCTGTTTGGGACTGATCAACTGGATGAATCTGCAATCAGCTCAAGGTGATTGTTGGTGTTCGCACTGGTACTCGAACCCAGTGCACTCCATTTTAAACGCCAAAGCGTCATCCACTAGACTACTTGAATTGGGAGAGCCACGAGGTGTTTGAAACAAAGGGTACTGCGTTCAAGCTTCAATGGGAACACACCATCACACTCACTGGAGATTCGATTGCACATACATCCAGCTGACCAGTCTCAAATAGGACGGAATGAACATTCTGGATTCCAATGCTAGTCTCTGTCTAACAAACTACTTTATGTTAATCCTTAGATATCGCCCAATCTTCCGTCCTAGGAACCAACATCTCAGCAGAGGTAAAACTTCATTTCAAGAAAATCAAAACTGACTTAAAACAAATAAGAAAGTTAGAGTGATCAAAAGTGAACACATTATTATATTATTATTATTTTCTTTAATTCCTAGAGAAACATGGGGCTTCAGCCGCACATCTCCATTGTGTTCGGTTCTCTGCTAAAGTTTTCACCTGGCTCCACATCTGCCCACATGTTTTCCTCTCCTCTTCACATGACCTCCTCCAAGCCGCCCTTGCACTGACGACCAACTCGCCTCTTCCCTTTCGGGTTCCACTCGAGCGATGGCTTGTATAGTGATGTCACTTGATGGTTTCCTCAGAGTATGGCCAATCCATCTCCATTTCTTCCTGCCTATTTGTTTCACAATCGGTTGCTGCTGGGTTGGTTCGCTCCCAAAGATCTCTGTTGCTGATCTTTTCTGGTCAACCATCTGATCTTGAGTATTGAGCGAAGACAACTGTTAATGAAGGTGTGTAGTTTGTTTGATGTGCTCTTTATGACGCGCAGTGCAAGTCTCTGATCCGTATAGTAGCACTGACTGACTTCACATTGGAGTTGAAAATCCGGATCTTATTTTTGATGCTGAGTGCTGTTGACCTCCACACAGACTTGAGAGTAATGACAGCTTGTCTTGCTTTCCCAATCGTTCCTTTGATATCCTCGTCAGTTCAAAAGTGAACACATACACTAAATATAATGTTACGCAGCACTGAAGTAGAAACTGAAAAACCAACATTCAATAATTATTATTTTTCAATGAAAATCAATTTACATAATAAACTCACTAGTCAATTGTTGGCATGCACACTTATTCCGATCTCGACAGTTATCTGTACAATCACAACAGACAAGAAATTTAGAATCTTTAAGCAAAGGAACATTGCCAATCGGTTGTCTATGAGGCGCATAATCAATATATCCAGGAACTTCATTATCTACACTATTTACACAAGGAACTGGAACATTCTCTTTGCCATATGATAAGTCAGCAATATGGGTGAGTGTCTGTAAATAAAGTAATATAAGCATTAAGTGAAAAATGATATAAGAAGAAGGTACTAATTGATTATTGACTGATTACGTGTTTAGAAATTGAAGCCTTTCAACATTTACATTGTGTAACGCAATTGAATCAGATTAAACAATAAATAAATACGAATTTAACGTTGATACCATTTAACAGTAACGATTTAACTTAGCTGAGATACAACATTAGGAGGGATAATTAAGTTCTTGCATGGTTCTTCATAGAAATATTCTTTCTGTATCTAAATGACATTAAATACGAATATTCAAGAGTGAAGTTATTCAAAATTTAGATGTCAAGGGGTTCTGATGAAGTTAAACATTGGTGATTAGATGTATATCAATGCTATAATGCTATTTAATAGCTTTAGAACCAACTGTTACGACGGACAAACTTCTTTATTAGCTGTGAAGTCGAGATCTATGCATGCACTAACATGATAATCTTATTGGACAGTTTTGATTGGTTTATATTTCTGCTTTAATTTTCTGAGGGATATTAACCAATCAGATTCGTCTCTTTATTACTTAAATTTCTGAGGGTTTGGTACATATAATATCATACCATATATTTTGTCCAATTAATATTGTTATTATCGTTGCCGTACCGGTCGACATTTTTCCCAATCTGACTTCTGCTTCTGTCTCACAGTGTGGGAAATATTTTCAACCGATCAGTTTGGTCATATAGAGTGTATTCTAGTCAAGTTAGACGACCACACAATACAGCATCACTGCGTCCGTAACATTTACCAACCACTTTTCAGTTGAACAGTTAAAATTGGTCCCAGTCACTTTCACTCCATGGCGACAGCGAAAAGGGCTTTTTTCCCTCTCTCAGAATCAGGGTAAATTCTAGAGAATTTAGTAGTTATCCATAAACCTTGAAATATTGTTACAATAGATATAAACAGCTTCCACTATGGACAGTAAACGTGGAAGATTCTATCACATTTGTTCCATCCGGTGAATTTTCCCGCGGAAAACAAAAACCATGAAAGTTAAACAGTTACGTGAGCAAACTTCTTCTTGTGGAATTCCTTTACGTTCCCCATGGGACATAGGGCTTCACAAGCTAGAGGCTTGAAGTTTTTGTAGCAGTGGTGTTCATTTTCACGGGATGGGGTTGCCAGCCTTATACTCGACCTTCACTCTTTATCAGTCTTATTACTGGCTTAGCGAAGTAAAGGGGTGCGTCGGCCGAGGATCGAACCCCGGACCACCTGTGTGGTTGGCTAGCATTCTACCGCTTTACCACCGATGCACAAACTTCATCTTAGGCAACATTAAAAGTCAAGTATGCAAATTTCCGATAGTTGGTGACTACCGGACGTAGCTGAAGGTTAGAGATGAGAGAAAATTAGTTGTATATATGACGATTATTGTCATCAAAGCACCTGTCATACTTACTGATAATATTGTGAGAGAAATAAGAGTTACGAATAGGGTATTTGGGGGAAACATTTTCAATAAATTGGTGAGTGAAGTGCTACTTTGTATACGCATGTTTAAAAGATATTCCACTCTGAAATTAATATTAGGTGAAGACGAGAAAGTAAAGAAAGCACTTCTGACAGTTTGTTATTCAAAGAAACTTCTCAGAAGCATAGAGAGGCTCTTAATTGGCATTCAATGGAAATCAGTCTGTTCGTCATCTCACTTTCCAAGTTCAAGTTTCTATCTGCAGCGCTATTAAAATCGATTTAGACGCCATATGCATTGCCATTTATGTTCACTGCCTGAACCAGAAATATTCACCATAATACTAGTAAAAGTTACCATTATTCAAGTTAAAGAATAACAATAAATGAATCTTGAGGAAGGAGAAAGTGTTTTCGCTCATCCCCAAATTCACAGACATACCTTTTCTGCACGAAATTCTTGATTAATTACCACGGTGTTATCGAATGAGAATAGATCAGCTGTTAATTGACTATTAGTCCAATCCAGAAATCGTTCCACTTCATGCATTGATCTTAAACGACGACCACATGGTGCACTATAAAAAATACTACACTTGTTGTCCATTGATGGTTCATATGTTGCTAAATGCCTAAATTATTAGAGAAAATCAGATAAACAGTCAGAAAAAGAAAAAAACTTGATTAACTTATAATGAAAAGTATTTTAAAAAATGACTGCGCAACATTGGTTATGCGGATGATTTTGTCCTCCAAGGTGTAAAAGTTGGTAAAATCCTAAGTCTTGGGGACACCTTGATCAGAAATCGACACATGTTTCACATGCGATTTGATTCTGTCAAATGTACGATGATGCTTCAGGACTGGACTGCATCGACCCCCAAGCATCAAAATAGGGGAGTGAAGTGGTAGAGCGATTTGACTACTTCACTAATCTGGGAAGTTGAATCGGCTGAAATGGACTGCTTGCTGACGAAATCTCATTTCATGGACAAAAGACTTGGATAACAAATTACGTCATCCCTGGAGTAGACCTGATATCCACCAGCTATCCAACAAAAGATGTGTGCACTGTGCACCAAATCTCTCTGTCCTCCCCTTTATGTCTATGGGTAATAGAGATTGGAAGTAGAAGATACGAAAAGATGAACTGTCTCTGATCTAAGGTATCCGCATCATATTTCCTGTGTTAAATGGTATAGTATGGCAAGTAATAGTCTTACTAAGTCAAGAGTGTTAGGTAAGGAGTGTAAGTCAATCGATGAGATTCTGAGATGGCTAATACATGTACTGTCCGACCCAAATCACCGTCTCCTTCGACGAGCAGTGTTGGCTGACAGAGTTTGGCTGGAAAAGAGTTAGAGGTAGTTCCACGAAAACCTGGAATCAGTCCATCAAGTCTTTGACAGTTGGTTTTGAGCCAAACAGCAAAGTTGTAGACTGCTTGGTTCGGGGTCCTCGGGATTTTAACAACCGACGGCTTCAGACTGTCGATGAAAATGGCTCAAAATCGTTCACAATGGATCAGATGAACCCACTTATCAAAAATTCACTTATTTGAACAAAGATACTTTACCTCATACCTTAAAATTCGATTTTTTTACAAACACCTCCCAATTCACACCTAGAAAACACAAGTTGTCGTCCGATCACCGAAGGTAAACAACCTTGGAAGTGACCAGTAGGGTGCAGCAGATCTGGTGTGAGGACAAATACTCGCCGAAGACATTGGCTAGCGGTCAAGCTATGTTGTGAATTGGCAGAAGTTAGAATTCATGGGCTGGCCATTGGATCGGGTCCCAGTGGCTTAGTGGTCCACGAGCTCGCCTTGTAACCAGAAGTTCCTGGGTTCGAACCCTGGCGATGGGTGCGTACTGATGAAGAGTCCCAAACTAGGCTAACGAAACGACTGTCCGATACTCCCAGGTTTTCCAATGGTTCTCTAACCGATGTCAGCTCATGATGAAGTCCTGTAACTAACCTTGGAAGTGAACTGGGTATGAACTTACTACGCAACACATATTCAGAATGAGATGGAGAGGGATTAGATATACGCTGAGGAGACATTTGAGTGGCATCATACTCTATAGGTATTTGAGTGTAACCCAAATAGGAAACGATAGTGACATGGAGAAGAGCGTGTACGCAGACGGGATTCATGGAGTCAGCTAAAAATGGTAACAGAGGACAGAAAGAAGTGAAGATTTGAAGCTTTTATATCAGTTTGTATAAATCTTGATCAATATTGAACCTAAGTGGTTGACGAAGTCTGAACATCATATGAAAAGCATTCACATTTAATCGTCTCTTTTACAAAAACAAAAAACCCTCAGCGTCACTGAAATAAGTAATCCCAACATTTTATTCAACAATTTGGTCAGATCTTCCTTCAGGGTTCTCATCCCGTAGATTTATTCAACTGTATACTTACTTACCTTAACCATCCACAGTGGAAAGGAATTTCCAGTGGATTAAGACCTTTATAATCTAATGGATTCTCTGAGCATAGAATAGGCGATTCAGAAGTTGGTGATCTTCGATAAATTTTCAGACAATGATTGCCACATTTATGAGGTACTGTGAAAAAGAGAGAAGTTTAAAAGAAATACTTTATAAAAATAGATAATATATATTTTTTAAATACTGAGGAAAAGAGACGGTATTAGACGATAAAACACGACTAATGTAGACTGACCCAAAACTTTATCTACTAGGCATTTGGGGGTGGGTGGTTAAGGGGAAGGCAGTCTTTAACACCTAGTGTTTTCTGAATGTAACATTGATCTGTTAGGTCAGAAGGAAAGATTTTATGAGTCAGTGTTTACGTTGTGACCTTGACCTTAACTTAGATTAAGCGTCGACTCAGTGGATTTTTATTGGTACATGCTAACCAGAACAAACATAGTTTTGATACTTTCAGGTAGTAATGTTGTATTGGTCATACAAAGTAACTAAATAAATAGTTGTAATTTCTCCATTATGGATAAAATTTTATTTTGATAAAGTCATACAAAGTTATACAGTAATATTTACTGATGACCACATTTGAATAGAATCAATATAAGATAAAGCACATTCGGAAATAATATTAATGTTATCAATAAAATACAATATGATGGGAAATAAGACGAGTGTTATCAGTCAATAAGATGGGAAATAAGATGTTTTTATAGTAAAATAAATAGATAACTTGTTAGAATGTTATAATATGAATTAAATACATTTTAATATTATTTATTATCCTTCTCTGATTTGACTGGTGGTAATAATATCTTCCTTATTTCCGGTATGAGTGATGAGTCATTCCTATTGCATGTGTTAGGTGCAGACTCGATGAACAAAGATTCAGTAATCAATCTCTCTCTCTCTCTCCATCTACCTATATTACTTTTTAGAATTATGTCTCTGTCCTATATAATTTACAAAATATCTTGCAATGACTGTAAGTTAGGTCAACTATATAGGGTCAAACTAGTAGATCGTGAATAGTGAGATTCTCAGAATATAAGAATTTAGCTAAGGTAAGAATGGTTGACCCAGAGAAGATAAGTAATTTAGAAAAAAGCTCAGCAATTGCACTGCATGCATTAACACACAACCACACAATAGGGTGGGAAAGGGTTAAAATTCTAAAAAGTAATCTAGGTAAGTGGAGAGAGAGATTAATTACTGAATCTTTGTTCATCGAATCTACACCCAACACATGCAATAGGAATGAATCATCACTCATACCTGAAATATGGAAAATACTACTACCAATCAAATCAAGTGAAAAACAATGGAACTATATAAATGAATTTAGGAAGTCGTGTGATTAACTTGATATGATTATGAGCAATAAATTGTGCTCGAAACGTCATCATTAAATATTACTGTATAACACTGTGAGACTTTATCAAAATAAAATTTACCCATCATGGAATTACACTCTACCACAGTGCCCAAGTTTTATTCTTATATATGATGTATGTAATGATATATGTATTTGCACATTATTTCACGTCGTTTAATGTATCTATACATATAATTAGCTTGTTAAGCTCGATCCTTACCACTTCAAATTGTCAAAATTTCATTTCATTTTTATGACTTAACTCGATAATTACATCAATATGTTTCGTCACTGATAATCCTTAATATCTTTGTGTCCTTGACCTGTTTCACTTCGGTTGAGTGAATTTTCAAGTGACTATGTAGCTGTCTCCACTACTTCTGTGTGAATTACCCTGAATTTTCAGAGCATTGTCTGTCCAATAGATTATAACCCTATTTTGGTTATAACTTATTATTTTGACTTCTTTTGTATAGCTTGTACCTTGTTTCCATTTTCGTCATGTTATTCTACCCACACACAATAGACTGGTTATTCACAGTTAAAATACGTTCAGATTATTTCACATTCGTTGGCATATCTAGTTTATTATTCGAGTCGTATGCAGCTGACGGAGATCCTATTCTAATAATGTGAATACTGTTGTAACGACAAAAGGCAAGAGTCAGGCAACAGATCGTTTATTAATGAAATCAACACATATTTATAGATTTTCGTGTGCATTATTATAGACTAATGTTAGCAGAAAAACGCAGTCTTCTGATTGGTTGTTTCTCACTGAAAGTTAATCTTTCATCTCTTTGTTGCTGTCTCTTGAGTGTCAGATCACCTATCTGCTAATTGTATCCGCCTACGCAAAGTCTGCTGTCCGTCTTTGATCTTGTTTTCACATGACTAATATTTGAGACATAAACATTGACGTCAATTACTGTGTACCAATTTGGCTAGTAGCCATCTCTCACCACAATTTTAATTATTTCCCTGAAGAAATTCGAATCAGTTTGCTGAACAAAATATTAGAATTATTTATTTCGATTCTGCTGAGATTGATGCAAATATATATTTTTTTAAAGTACAATTACTGTTAATATATGTGTAAAACTCCGGCACTGTGTGGTAGTTAGTCATTCTGGGGTGAGAGCCGGCTGCTAGCCAAACTGGTATACAGTAATATTTACGTCAATGTTTAAGTCCCCACTATTGGTCGTGAGAAAAATAAGAAAAAAGACTGGTTCAACAATCAACCACCGCAAACTTTGCGTAGGCGGATACAATTAGCATATAGATGATTTGGCATTCAAGAAACAGCCACAAAGAGGTGAAAGATTAACTTCCAGTGAGAAACAACCAATCAGAAGACTGTGTTTTTCCGCTAACAATAATCTATAATAATGAATAAGAAAATCCATAAATATGTGTTGATTTTCCTTAATAAACGATCTGTTGCCTGGCTCTTGTCTTCTGTCGTTACAACTGCGTATTAGTTTGTTTATTAGATATGTAACAACAGAAAACAAGGGCGAGGCAACAAATCGTTTATTAAGGCAAATCAACACATATTTATGTGCGTCGGTGGCATAGCGGTTAGGACGCTCGCTGACCATGCACATGGTCCGGGGTTCAATCCCCGGCCAACGCACTCCTTTACCTTGCTAAGCCAAAAATAAAGCTGGTGAAGAGTAAAGGTTGGGCATGAGGCTAGCACCCCCATCCTGTAAATAAACACTGTTACAGAAACTTCAAGCCACTAGCTTGGAGCCCTATGTTCCACTAGGGAACGTGAAGGAAAAAAAACACATATTTATAGATTTTAATGTACATTATTGTAGATTATTTTTAGTAGAAAATACAGTCTTTTGATTGGTTGTTTCTCACAGAAAGTTATCCTTGCATCTCTTTGTGGCTGTGTCAGATCATCCATATGCTAACTGTATCCGCCTACGCAAAGCTTTTGTTCTCATTTTCTCACCACCAATATTGGGGATATAAACATTGACGTCAATTACTGCCTACCAACTTTGGCTAGCAGCCAGCTCTCACCACAGATATATCACACCGTGAAATAGTATTAGTATTTACTGAATGACAAGGTTTCGAACACAATTTATTGTTCATAATCATATCAATTATAATCACACGACTTCGAAACTTGAGTTTTATGGTTTTCTTTGTTATCTCCTATTTGTCTTAGGGGTAGCAGAATATCCCACATATCTGGGACAGGTGTTGAATCATTCCTATTATCCAGTAAATAATACGGTTTCACCGTGTGATATATTTAATAAACAAACTCATATGGAATTACTTACTACCACAGGGCCCAAGTTTTACACATATATTAATATAACTTATGGTCTTCTTGTTCGAAGACTAATCAATAAACTCACTCGACTTTCACAAACTGAAGCAAGACATGAAAATCATCGTATTTTCAACATTCGATGCTTGAAAAATGAAATCATTCCTAAATACCTACATCTACGAGCTCCAGTTCCGACAAACAAAGTTAGAAGCAGAATAGAAAGTCTACAAAAATTGTGCCTACAGGAAGAGGTCCACAGAATTGTTAAAAAGTTGCACCATATCAGAAATGAAATTGAGCAGTTAAAACAAAAGCTAATAGGAATAGTTACCAATTTGGATTACGATCTTATAACACAGTCCTCTAGCAATGCCAAATCAGCAACTTTCAAAAAGTCAAAGAATACTCAAATCAAAAAGTTCAATAAATTATTAGAGGAGAAATCATCGTCTGGGAATAATGAAATCATCAATCTAAAGTCAACGGCGGCCGACAAAACAAAGTGGGTTATCAATCTTTCAACACATGTGTTAAGTCCCAGAGAAATAAGTGTGTTAGAAAAACGACTAAATTTCAATGTAGCCGTAGACAGGCTGAAACCTGAGGATGTCATCCGTAAAATAGAAATAGCACTAAGTGGGATAGACAAAACAACGGCTGATGAAGTACGGGCACAATGTGCACTAACATTAAAACGACAAAACGAGGAAAGCCTAACCTGACAAAACCAAAGATGGAAGCCCTAAAACATTTTAAGAATATTCAAGGATACAGTAATCACAAAATCAGACAAAGGAAATGCAACAGTAATAATATAATATATTGGACAAGGTGAATACTCACACACAAACCGGACTATATGAGGAAATTAATAAATCAATAGACACCGTTATGAAAAAGGTCAAAGTAGTAGAACGGGGTCAGTCAGACTAGTGGAGCATATAAACCTAGTAAAATCTACATTAGTTGACCCGAATAAGATAAGAAGTCTAGAGAATAGTTCAGCTATAGCACTCACTACATGCAATTACATACAACCATACAATAGGATGAGGGGATAAGATGACAGTTTTACAATCTAATGTCATAGGGTGGGGGGGGGGAGAGTATGATAACGGAAGCTTTGTTTATCGAATCAGCTGTAAACACGTGTAATAGGAATGATTCAACACCTGTCCAGTTGGACATCTGGAAAATTTTACTACCCCAACGACGACAAATAGGAGAGGACAAAGAAAACTATAAAACTCAAGTTTCGAAGTCGTGTGATGATAACTGACATGATTATGCACAATAATAAACTGTGTTCGAAACCTTGTCATTCAGTAAATACTAATACTATTTCACTGTGTGACATATCTAATAAACAAACTACTATGGATTTACAATTACTGTTACAAAATAGTTACAAGACCAGCCTGAAGAATATCAGGTGAAACTGAGTAAAGTTCTTATGAATAAATATTATCTTTCTATAATCATCCAATCATTTCTATACTGGGAAAAAGCTGACTCTCCTTTAAAAGTCAACAACGGTATTTATTTACGATGCAGATATGGGAATTATTAGTTTTAATTCATGATTTAGTTAGGCTGTTGGGTAGGATCACAACTAAATCAAGTGTGATATATTCATCTTAAGCTTCTGCTTACAGTAAGAAATATGATAAAAGCTTACACAGATAATGTACAACTTGTAACATAACACCACCGGTCGTAAACTGCAAATATAATAAGTCGACATTTTATTATGAAGAATATTGGTTTCGTCAATTAATTCCAATGGGTTTTTGAGCTTTGACGTCTCAGCAGCAGTGGTGTCTACTTTCTTTTCAGGGTGAGGTTGCTAGCTTCACACGCAATCTTACCTCTTTATTATTCGGTTTACTTACCTGCTGCTAAGCAAGGTTTTAGGAGTACGACGTCGACCGGGGAATCGGACCTTGAACTACATGGGTGGTTGATGAGGATTCTACCACAACCACCGACGCATCAGGATAGTTTTTTAAGCATATACTATGCGATAGTGTTTAACAACAATGGGATCAGAATCTCATGATTTGTTTCGCTTGAGACTAATTATCAGAATGTATGAACTATAACTTATCTACTAAAACTAGTCAGTTACAGTTTACCACTTCATGTTCAGAGATCAACGATGCTTGTTAGTGAATCATACTGTAAAGTAGTCCTCATCATTCCTTTGAATTCCAACCGGGACCTGGGGCATCAAGCCTCAGCTCAGAAGTTTCAGTATGCATGAGGTTGATAGTCGCCCTAATTACCAAACTTACTGTCGGCTAGGTAAGGTCTAGGAGTGACTCCGCCGGCATTAGAACCTCGGACTATGTAGGTGGTGGTGAGAATTCTACCATTCAATCACCGATGCGTGACAGCTAATGCAAAACTACAAATACATGAAGAATACTAGCAATACAACAATAACAATAGCTTACCAAAAGACTCATAATTAAATTCTTTAAAAAGATTGTCCAGATACGATACTTTAGTACCAGCTGACTCTAATTCAGACATACTAATCAACGGATCTATACCAGCATGCTGGCGATTATTCATACTTCCCTCCAGTGGCTTATTGTTTGTACACGTTGAATTTAGACTACGTACAGCACAATATGATTTATTTGCATTTTGATTGCCGGTAGCCGATTTACGAGCTTTACGACGTTTAGCACTTGCGTCCAATGCTTGAATAGAGAAAGAAACAAAAATTTAATTTAAAAGTATTTATACATATATAAGCATTTAATTTAAGAACTAAATACTCATAATCAACTGTTTGTTATCCACCCTACAACAAATTTCAGCTCTACAGAAACTTATCAAGCATAAGTTACAGGATTTCATCATGAGCTGACATCGGTTAGAGAACCATTGGAAAACCAGCAGGGAGTACTGGACAGCTGTTTCGTCCCAGTTTTGGACTCTTCATCAGCACGCACCAGCCAGGGTTCGAACCCAGGACCTTCTGGGTGTCCAGTACTTCTTGCAGGTTTTCCAATGGTTCTCTAACCGATGTCAGATCATGATGAAATCTTGTAACCAATCAATCAAATCCCTACAAACCAATACTTGATTATTAGGCATAAACCAACTAGAGCATGAAATTATCAAGCTTTTGCATAATACTGAAACATACGGCTTTCTTTATTTAACAATCATAAAGAAAACTCAACAACGAACAACTAAACAATGCTGCGCCTCTCTAAAAATAATTCCAAATAAGATGGTGGTATGAGACTCATTAGTTTAAGCAACTGACTTAACTGACCCGTTTCAACATAGAACTTTGCACAGAAGTGTACCATTTCAACATGTTACACTCCAAGTACCACAGAAAAGAATCCAAAAGAGAGAGAGAGAAAAAGTGATCAAACATTACTATAATAAACAGAAATGTAAGCGAGAAAGAATGGTAACATGGAATAACATGATAGTTCAGTAGATATAGAATATCACAGAGAGTGAATGCACCTGAACTATTGAGAACAACTTCAAGCCATATCACCAATTGTCTCCAGTCGGCGGTTCTTAGAATCCCAAGGACCCCCAACCAGTCAGTCTACATCTCCCTACGTGACTTGAAATAACAGTGAAAGATTTCAGGAACTGATTCCAGTCAGTCTGTATCCATTAGGGCTGATGCAACTTTCCACTAGATTACTAACCTTCATTACACCTTTTGTTCTCGTTTTGCTATGTTGCATGTTTTCTCGAGTACTAGATAAGTACACACAGTAATAAATTACAGTAGTAATTCTAACACTGATTCAAGCAAAAACCTTATGTACTTAGAACTGATTAATTTAATAATCCCGTATACGTATGATATATGTATCTGCGTAAAGTAGTATTGACAGTTACCATAGCAACTTTAATATTCTTACTATAAAATTTAAATACAGAGTACTTAATACCGAAGGGAATACAAATTAGCGCAAACAAAAACATTTAAACACTACTATCCTACACTATTAATTTCCCATTGGGTCTGGTCAGACACGCTGAGGAGACTGTTGAATGACATCGGATGGAACCTAAATGGGGAACGAAGACACCCGAAGGTGATAAAGAGATAACAGAATATGAACAGTCGTGGAGCTACTTAAAAAGAGAACTGAGGAAACAGTACAAAATGGAGATGTGCTGTTGAAGTCTTATGTTCCACTGAAAAACCTAAAGGAATAATAATAATGAGAAGTAGTCACTGGATGGTAAATCAATGTACTAGTGTGTCTAGTCCCAAAAGTTCTCATCATAATCGGTAGAACAAATAAGCAATGTATTCGTTAAGCTGACTGACACAAAAATACTACACACTATGGTAGGTTCTGATTTACCACAGACGGTAACTAGTTACCATCCACTGACAGACTCATGCATATAATCCAAATTTAACCTTGACATTTTATTTTTTATATTTTATTATAGCTTGATTCCACACAGTATTTTGGTACAAGCATGAAATTTTCAGCATGTGATATCGGTAGCCCAAATTTAGCAGGCCGACCATAGATATCAGGTGTGCGTCGGCGGGGGATCGAACCTCGGACCATGTGCATGGTCGGCGAGAGTCCTAACCGCTGTTCCACCGACGCACATTAGTTAGAGAACCACTGGAAAACCTGGGAGTACTGGACAGCTGTTTCGTCCTAGTTCGGGACTCTTCAGCAGTATGCACCTACCGGGATTTGAACCCAGGACCTTCTGGTTACAAGGCGAGCTCGTATATCACTGACACAGGTTTCAATGAAAACAAAATAAAAACATAAGTCTCTTCAAGATTGCAATGAACGCCAACAAGGCATTCTATCGAATAACTTCATCAAAAATATATGAACTAATGTCTATTCACGATAAACACCAGGTGTGTATTGAACCTCAGATTCCGAAGAAATTCATTTACACCTGATAATTATGTACTAACGAGAAGTCGTGTTCACCTCAGAGTCCACCAAGTTGGGCATGAGGACTAATACTCACTGATGACACTGTCTGGACGGTCACGTTGCGCATCACAAATTGGCAGAAGTTAGAAGTGATGGGCCATTGGACTCTGTCCTAGTGCCTGAATGGTATACAAATTCGACTTATAACCGGAAGGTTTTAGGTTTGATCCCTGGTGGGATTCACGGGTGAATACTGCTACTGTGATGAAGAGTCCCCCCCCAAAAAAGGACGAAACGGTTATTCAGGATTCCCTGGTTCTCCAACGGTTCTCTAACTGATGTTACCTCGTGATCAAACACTTGCAATCAATCAAATCTCTGCAGACCAACACACTTGAAAAACTGTTGTGCTATAATAAAAAATACTAAATTATAAGACTTTTGAGTAAAAGAAGGTAAACTTACAGACATCTGCAATGTTGTATTCAACTTCAACGCTTTGATTATGACTTGGTAGTGCTTCATTTTGACTAGCAAGCTGAAAATGTAAAATTGAACTACTTATAGATTATGTGTTGAGGTAAAACACACACACACACACACAAACAACTTAAAGCCAAGTGTTTAAAACAAGTTCATTACTTGAAAGTGGATTGATTCGATGTTACGACATATCGACTGACTGACTACTACTCAGACGACTCAAAACTAGAAAAATACAAATCATTCGAGATGTTTAGTTTCATAGTTAATCTCTTACCAATATCAGTTAGTCGAAAGTTGACTTGGTCATGGTAAACAAAACGAATCACTTCATTTAATTTCATACTGTTTTCTTATGAATTTTCTCTTTCTCTTCTTTTCTTTTCATTCCTCGCTTTCTCAGAGGAGCATAGTGCATCAAGCTTTAAAGCTTGAATGGGTTACTAGCCTCACACCTGCACCTTCCCTCTTCTCTAGGACTAGTAAACAAGGCGAGGTTAAACATGGCATGCCTGGCGAGCATTCTATCATTGGACGACTGATGAACCAAAAGAACTGAAAGTAAAAAACACCCCTGACCCCACCGAGGATAGAATCTCTCGTACCTTCAGGTTACGGGACAAGCCCGTTAAAACCACTATTCAGGCAATGAGGCAAACCTTATAAAGGATACAGTATTGAAACAGGAGCAGTTGAATTGATAGATACAGTTGGAGGTGACTAGCCTAGGTACCTCATCTTTCAGTTTCGGAATCGCAACTGGTGGTGTGGAAATTATAAGCTGCAGCTAAACCGCGTTATAAATATCCTTTAAATCGATTTTCTCAACTTGTTGGCTTTTATTTCACCTGGAATATCATCTTTGAATTGTAGTCGTAAATATAGAGGCTTCTTGTTAACAGATACAGAAGAATTTTCTCCTACTCTCTTGTCCATGTGTAGAGATGAGCTTTTCAGGGTAGCTGTTTTCAGATAATGTATTGCACAGAGCTGAAAGTTCATATTCAGTCACATTTTCTGAACAAACAGCTGAAGGTCTTTACCAAATTTCTTTGATTTAATTATTATGGTAATATAAATGTAGAACCTGACGACGAATTTATCGAAAAGCATATTCTTTGTTATTATAAAAGTTTTTGAATTTCCCAATGAGTGAAAAACAAAACGATATTGTTGCTTTTACTGACGTTTCGCTATTTAGTGCAGCTAATAGTCTGGTCAAAGTACTAATAAACCAGAACTAACAAAATCACAGCTTATATATAACAACTTATTCACCGTTTCTCAGCATAGGGTCATTTTTCGTTGTCAAATTGGCCAATTGGTAAAGATTACAAAACCAGGTGTAGATTGTTGAATTTGATAAGTGTGTAAAATTATAAAAGCAGCGTGTGTTTACATAATGAAATTGCTTATCAAATTCGTGTTGACTTTGTCATTTCATGGGGGAGGGAGGTGTTGTAACCAGGTCAGATTCTGTTTTAGTCCATCATTCCTATTCAGACAATTTGGATTCCATTTGATGATAGAAAGGGTTTCTGATGATATGAGACGTTTTTTATGATTTCTGAAATTTATTTGGATTATTTTAAAGTTATGAAAATCAATTTTCTGACTTGATTATATAGCGTGTAGACCTATGGCTGATGATTTTTCAGGCTTTCTTTGTTCAACTGGATTTCTCGGTGGTCAAACAGAGACGGCTCTACGGTGTTCATTTCTTGTGACTTTGATTTCTCACTGGCGATGTTTGTCCGATGTATATCGCATGACATTCCAAGCATTTTATTTTGTAGACTCATTTAGATAGAGAATCTTTAGGGATTTAGTCTTTTACATGAACAAGGTTGCTTTGTAGTGTTGTGGTGAGAGCTGGCTGCTAGCCAAACTGCTAGACATTAATTTACGTCAATGTTTATGTCCCCAATATTGGTCGTGAGATAAATGAGAACAAAGACTTTGCGTAGGCGAATACAGTTAGCATATAGATGATGCCACAAAGAGATGAAAGATTAACTTTCAGTGAGAAACAACCAATCAGAAGACTGCGTTTTTCTGCTAACAATAATCTATAATAATGTACACGAAAATCTATAAATATGTGTTGATTTTCTTAATAAACGATCCTTTGCCTGGCCCTTGTCTTCCGTTGTTATACTTTATGTGATGTTTTGAATAAAACTCTGATGTCGGGCTTATTAATGAACGATGATTAAATTTGTTATATATGAGCTGAAATTTTGTAAATTCTGGTGTAATAATAATTTGATAAGGCTATTAGCAGCATTATTAAATAGCAAAACGTCAGTGAAATCAACAATGTCATTTTGTTTTTCATTTATTGGGAAATACAAGAAAACCTTAATTATAATGAATATCATATACCCAATGCCTGAATTTTTTCACTGTTAAAGGTGAACTTGCTTTGGAACTATACATAACAAATTCTTTGCTCATTAATCAACCTTTCAAATTTTTAATAGGTAGTTGTTGGTATTCTTTAGATTTCTTCAACTCATTGTTATGTACATATATATATATATATATATATATATATATAGTGTTATGTATACATCTGTAGATTAATGATCGGTATTAGTTTAATGTGACGGATTTAAAAAAAATTGTGATGTTGGTAATTCCAAAACTCAACTGAAAATAGGTCACTTAATGTGTAGAGGTTTTTATTTTGTTATGTTCAGTGGTAAGGTGATTATTAATGTTATTGACACCAACCAATAGTTAGGAATGTGATTGAATATATGATAATGAGGCTAACTGAGAGGATTCAGTTATTCAGGTTAAATATTTTTTTTCATGTTCTAGACTATAAAATACACTTAAGACGTGGGGACTGATTATACTACAGAGGTTTGAAGTAGATGGAGCAGCGTTTTGGGCGTTGAGCCCACCGACTGAAAGTCAAAATTACCTAAGTCAGGGAGATACACGCCCCACTAAAACCGAGGGGAATTCAAAACTGTACCACTGAGTGTTATACTGCTTATTCTTTTATTAGGATTTCACTTTTCAAGAGACTTTTAAATCGTCTTAAACGTTTTCACAGACAAATTTAACACCAAAGAAGATGTTGAAATTACAATTTTACTGCTGAATACTATAATGTGTTTAAACAGGGAATTTATGAATTCAGTTGTATTGGTGGTTGCTATAAGAACTTAATTTTTCATCCTCAGGAACACCTACTAGTGTCACTAAATAAAGGTGTGGTTAAAGTCATGAAGAGTTCGATGTTAAGTCACCTCATCCAAACAGGCCACAAAGCTAGCCACCATTGAAGAATCTTTCTCTATCATCTATCAGGTATGGAATAAAATACCAAACGACCCCAGATACCGAACACTCCAAAGAACAGAAGCTATTGCAATTCGCCTAAATCAACCGGGGCTCTGTGTGTGTGCAAAACAAACAGGTTCGTTCAGCCATTAATGCTACCCTGATCTGCTCTGAAACCTATAAATTCATAAATTCTGTATTACTAATTCTCTTAATTTATCTGATATTTAGTTTATTGTTATATTATTATCATTATTATTGTTCCCTTGGATTCATAGTGGAACATAGGGCTTCAACTGCACGTCTCCACTTGTTTCTATCCTCTGCTGTACTTTTCACTTGCATCCATGTTAGTCCATACTGTTTCAACTCCTCTTCACACGATCTCATCCATGTCACCCTTGCACTGACGAACCACTCGCCACTTCCCTTTCGGGTTCCACTCGAGCGTTGGCCTGACGCGCAATGTCACTCAGCGGCCTCCTCAGCTCAGCGAGTGTCCAATCCATCTCCACTTTCTCCTGCATATTTGTTGGGTGATTGGTTTTTGTTTTGTTTGTTCCCATAGTTTCTTGTTGGTTCTTGTTCTTTCCGACCATCTGATCTTCAGTATAGAGCGAAGCCAGCTGCTGATAAAGGTCTGCAACAGGATGTTGGAAATATTCTTTGTGACTCACTGGCCAAGTTTCTGATCCGTATAGCAAAACTGACTTGACGTTTGTATTGAAAATCCGAATTTTGTTGTTGATGCTGAGTGACGAAGATTTCCAGATTGGTTTCAGGTTGATGAATGTGTTTCTCGCCTTCCAGATTCTCGATTTGACATCCTCGTCCGTTCCTCCTGTGGTTGAGACAATGCTCCCTAGATAAGTGAGTGAAGTAACCTCTTTCAAATCCCTCCCTTTGATGCATATCATTTCTTACCGATGCTTTTGAAATGTAATCTATTGATACTGTCAATTCATTGTGATCTAAAACACTAATGTTGTTAATAAAAATATAATTATTATGGTCATATTTTGGTGAGAGCTGGCTGCAAGCAAAAAATTGTAGACAGCAATTGATGTCAATGATACGTCCCGAATCAGGGTCATGAGAAAAAAATACAATAACAAAGCCTAACCTTGAGGAACTCACCAACCACCAATCACAGCAGACTTGACGTGTGCGAATAGGATTCGCAGATAAATAGCTTAACTTTATAAGAAACGGCAACAAAGAGATGACAGAATGACCTTCAGCAAGAAAACAACCAATCAGAAGACGTTGCTTCTCCGCTAACAATAACGCTAATAATAATGCACATAAATGCCTCTTGATTTTCTTAATAAACGATCTGTTGCCTGGCCCTTGTTTTTTATCGTTACAATATAACTTTGGATCCTAATGATGAATTTATCGGAAAAAAGTGCTAATAAACCAAAAAAAGGGCTAAAATGGTTTTCACTAGAATTTGTGTTTGCTGAATATTCATCCCCGTGCTCGAATGAAGTGATAATTTGACACTCTTCTTATTTGCCTCAATTTTCCAGATAACATGAATCAGTGCTATGTGTATTTAGATTAATCAAATTCATCTGACTAAAGATTTGATTAATCTAGCCGTTATGTGTCTAATGCATTTTATAATGCTTCAGAAAATAACGAATATTCACTCAGAAACACACGATATCTCAAAAAAACATATATATACATATGTAAAGAAATGAAGAAATAAAAGATGTCTTACAAAGTCACTATACAGTGGTTCTAACCGCGTAGAACCACGATAAATCCATTCTGTATGATTTCTAGAAAATTTGATGAGAGCCAAACTGGCATCTACTGCCTCCACAGTTGCTTTTATCCAGCTGCCATCCAGTTCAGTTTCAATAGTCTGACCATGTTTAAGTCTTACCATTGGACGCTGAAAAATGTATATCAATAAAAGTTTATTAGTGTCATTATTACTATTATTATTAATAATTAATTATAAAGAGGAACATTCTCTTTACGTGAATCAATCACAATAAAGCAGAAATGCACAGAAAAATTAGAATAACAGGATAATTCAGGACGTGAAATACAACACGCTATAGGAAAGATAATTACAAGTTTCATCACTAGCTGACGTCAGTTAGGTGACCATTGGGAAGCCTGGGAGTACTGAGCAGCTGTTTCGTCTTAGTTCGGGACTCTTCAGAAGTACGCACCCACCGGGGTTCGAACCCAGGATCTTCCAGTCGCAAGGTGAGATCGTAAACCATTCAACCACTTGGACCTGATCCATGAATCCGAAGTCCTGCCAGTTAGCTCTGACTTTTCAATGGTTCTCTAACTGATGACAGCTCGTGATCACATTTCTAACTAGTCGAATCCCTGCATAACCAACACCTGAGAAAAGATAATTGCAGCATAGAATTTTCCTAGGGGAGATAGATTTGGGTATATAAAATAATAAGTAGCTCAATCAGAAAACATACTAAATATTTTTATGAATGAACTAAAATTGTTATTTTTAGTTCAATTTTGATTTTCCCGTTGACTGACTGGACGAAATATGTTGGGCCTCTATACAAGAGGTGGTGGTTCTCGTGGCCCAAGTGGTCTAGTGGATAGCGCTTTGACATTTGAAACGATGGCTACTGGGTACGAGCTTCAGTGGGAACACCATTATTCACTGGAGAATACAGGTACGTCCAGATGACGAGTCCCACTAAATAGGACAAAATGCACATCCTGGATTCCACTGCAGATATTGTGTTTTTCTACACAAAAGGAACAATTTCAGTCATAACTTACATTCAGTAGACATACAGAACTTTTGTCATGCCATTACAACAACGTGACATAAGATGTTCCATGAATTTTGTTTCCCACTAAGTTTTATTCTAACTACAACTTAAATCCGGTTTCTAGTGAGTCCAGTGCATTCCAATGACTGCCGTTTTACATGTGAGTACTTCTGGTCAGTGAGATGTTAACACGCTGCATTATTGCTTCGACAGTACTACATTACTAATGCTGGTGTGCCCTAGGCCCAGAAAATTACGATTTTCTGAGAATTAGGATTTATATCTTATATCTTAAATAGCAAGGATATAAGTCATTGCAAATCGAACTTTCCTAGCTTTCATCTCAATATGCTTCAATAGGTAGAAAGAAGGCAATCAACTAGGATTTGAACTTCTTCAGGTAGCTGATCTTGTATCAAAAGCCTAGAGGAAAGTTGTAATACGTTTGGCTGTTCTAAAGGTGTTATATCAACTATTTTGCACAGTTGGAATATCTGTTCTACGTGCGAAAACACCTTGCGATAGCTTTTATCTTCACCTTAATCTAGAAGAACAATCTATTCAACATTAGCAAACACATTAAATGTGAAATAAAGCAGTTAAACAATTGAACAATGAAAGTGTCAGCAGCCTTTGAAAACAAAAGAAAAAAAATTCAAGCATGGAAAAACCACTGGATATCTTGTCTTAAACGACGCTTAAATAAGTGGGGAAAAAAACACTTCATTTACCTGTGGATATTGAGCTAAATAACGTTTAATAAATTCTTGAGATGATTCTGTAGCTTCTTTCCAATTCTCTTTAGCTACAAAATAAGATCATATATAAATTTTGTTAAAGGGTAATAATTATATCTACATGTAAAGGTGAAGTTGATGCCCATCGAAGGGATTGGTCGGGGGGGGGGGGTAACGCTATATATCATGAGTCGAGTGATCTATTTCTACGCCATTATATATACACACACATATTTAAATTGTTAGATTTCGTCACAAAGCACAACATCACTTAGAGAAACCAATGGAAACCAGAGAACACTGGACAGATGTTTCGTCTTATTTTCCAGGACTCTTAGGCAGTGGGCACCCAAGACCCCACCAGGAATCGAACCTAGGATCTTCAGATTACGAGACCAAGCTATATGACGAAATGATATAGTTAAGATTCAGAGGTCATAGAACTCCGGCCCAGGTGGTTGAATGGTCTCGTAACCTGAAGGTTTCAAGGTTCGATGTCTGAAGAGGTCAGGGTGCCTAGTACTGAAGAATCCTGAAAAATAGTCCAGTGTTCCCAGCTAGTTTTCAATCATCTCTATAGTAACTGATGTTGGTTCGTGACGAAATCTAACAATTGGAATTAAATTAATTCAAATCCCATAACTGACTGACCGACCGGTTTCATCGAAGAACTTTGCAGAGATGTGCAGCAGTTCGAATTGCCACTCTCCCTCCATGTAGCACACAAAGCAAGAGAAGAGAGTAAAGAGCAATTCAAAACAGAGAAATATAATCAACAGAAATATGCGGCAAAAAGAATAGTAATATGGAAGAACAAAATAGTTTTATAGGATATTATAGATCACAAGAAGTGGATGCATCTGCGCCAGCCATTGAGAACGATTTTCAGGCATATCACCAATTGTCTCCAGCCATCATTGGTTTTACCATCCCGAGGATACCAACCAGGAAGCCAGTCTACACCTTTCTACGTGGCTTAAATCAACTATCAAAGATTTCATTGACTGATGAAGCGATGTTTTGGTTTGACCACCACTAGCTAGCTCTTTTCCAACCTGATCAATCCTAAGTCAGTTAGCTAACATTGCCCGTCGAGGATGGCGATGGCTAGGCATGCGTACATAACACATGTCCTAACCATCTCAATCGATGTAACTTCACAGCCTCGTCTATCGATTCCCCCTCCTTACCTAGCACTCGACTGAAGCCTAACCTCAATATTGCTCACCCTATTATACCACCAACTAACATGGGAGATAGAACGCAGGCACCTATGATCAAAGACAGCTAGCTAGCCAGTCTTTTCATGTCTTCCCCTTTCAATGGCCATGTCTCGCTCACAGCCATGAAGGAGGACAGAGTGAGCAGCTGAGCAGAACACACGCCCTTTGGTCGACAGCCGGCCGGATATCACGTCTACTTCAGAGACAGTGTAAAGTGGCATATGCGAAGCTGACCTTCTGTATCCGTGCTGAGATTTCGTCAGCAATCAACCCACTGGCGTTGGCTGGTGCAACTTCTCAAATAAGTGACGTAGTCAACACGCTCTACCACTTCATTCCCCATCTTTAAGCTAGGAGTCAATGTAGTCCAGTCCTGTAGCCTCATCATCTTACATTTGACGGGAGCGAATCACATGCCAAACATTCGTAGATTGCAGCTCAAGGTGCTTAGAAGACTCTGCATTTTTAAATCCCATAATCTAAATATACATTTACATAATCAACTTACATTGATGACAAATACGAAAGATTTCACTTGGCGGTGAATACTGTGTATAACCATCATCGAAGAATAATAAATATCTAAAATATAATTGAAGTTGGTAAGTATTATTTAATTCAATTTCTAGGCATACCTATGACCATTCCTTTCACTTGGAGGTTCAGCAATCAATCCAGAATAATAACCGATCCCACCTGCATCATCTCGATAAATTGCTAAAATGTTAGAAAATCAGAAAATTTCCCAGTTAACAATACTGACATACAATGAATGTTAAATTTTACTGCATATTAATATTGGTTAGAAAAATTATTCAAAATCAGAAAACATAAGGACACTTTATACTAAGGACTAGATACATGACACTGTTGACTAGTGACCAATCAGCACATCCATTATAGTGTTATACAAAGTCATCAGTCTGTACACCTCAGTGGTAACGTCTGTGACTGCAGCAATGTGATTCGGGTCGAAGATATGCTTTACTGACGAGTGTCGGGGAACACATCACGCCGAAAACACCGGTTCTCGTCCGATCACCGAAGTTGCGCAACGTCGGGACCGGTTAGTATTTGCACGGGTGACCACCTGGGAGCACCGGGTGTTGTCAGCTCTTTTTCTCAATCGGTTGGTCGGGTGTGCATATAGCACTGATCCAAAAAGTCACACTGGTTGGAACTAATGTTTCTGTAGGTTCTATCTTGCCAGAAAAGTTGTTTGGACAGCAGTTAGACTCAAAGGAGTTACCAACATAGTGTAAAGCGTTTGCACCATGTTGGGGGGGGGGTGTTCTGAGGGCGAAGTTGTAGTGCTGGAGAATAGGGATGTAACAGCAGTAAAGTGTTTCCCTCAGATGATGACCAGCATGGCAGCTATGCTGAGTCTCTGCACTGGGAAGTGGTTAGAAATGTCAACCCCGAAAAGTGTACATTCTTACTTGCCTTAATAACGATCCGTAGCCAACGGTAAATTTGTAATGCGGACGAAACTCTAAAAACTAATTCAGACAGGCCAAGTGTGACGGGCTTTAAGCAGCTGTTCCATATGCCATGCAATCACGACACATTATTGCTTTTTCTGTCCCAGGTACAACCAGAAAAAATCAACTACCATGGTGTGGGCAGCCGTGAAGTAACAACCTCCCACACACTGCCTAAAGTTAGTGCCTAAAAGCATAAAGTTTAGATTCATGGCTTCCTACCAATTGCTTCCAACTATCTAACAGTATAACTAGTTGTGAAATATCTTGGTAATACAAATCTATTATTTTATGTCACTTATAACCAATAACTCATCAAAACTGTTGAGTTAGAAATTGCATTACAATTAGCTTTTATTTTTATCCTATATCCGCGACAAACTATATCACCCAGATTCTTGTTCGCTATTTATTACTATAATCGAAAAAAATATTTGCTATAATCCAGAAAACAAAAGACTCGCCACTAGGATGAGGACACTCATGAGGACTGTAAACGAATTTCAGGTCAATCATAGGCTGATTAGCAATGAGAGTGGTTTTCATACTTTCTTTTTCTCTTTCCATTCCTATACGCTCTGAAAAGGACATATAAGGCTTCAAGGCTCATCTTTGAAGTCTTTTACGGGTTGCGGTGGCTAGCTCAACCTTCCCTGATTAACACAGGCTTAACGCCGGTTGAGCGAGGGTCCAGGTGTGCATTGGTGGGGAATCGAACCCGGACCATGTGGGTGGTCGGCGAGTATTCTACCACTACTACTTTCTATAACATAGAAGAGGAAACAAACACAACCACTCCAACCAAGCACAGTAGGACTACAGATTTTTAACCATGTGTCCTTGTTCTACTGTCTGTGTAATATGGAACCATGCAGTAAATAGTGTTTAAGTTAGAAGTATTGCTAAGCACGAAAGACAAATCAGCCAAAAAGGTGATGAGTCTTTACCAACTGAAATGGTTGAAATATTTATTACATATTTTCAGCCAACGTAATCCTCAAAATGGGCAATACTAGCTTAAACAGAATTAAGTTCAAAAAGTCAGGAGAAGTCAGAGTGAAACATGAAACCAATCCACGAGTCCCATGATGGTTGGTCTAGGCTATAAAGAGTAGAGTAAACTGCCTGACCAGATTTATTCAGATTTAAGAATTACGAATTAACGGCTGAAGATTTTATGATACAGTTGAAAATCGTTTATAGTGATGCACAAGCAATCACTCTCCAGTATCTTTGGAATTGTCGACGTGCTCACCAATCTTCACTTAGTTATTTTCTGCCTCAACTTCATAGACTTTGAAAAAGCTTTCGATGGAGTTGATTGTGAGGATATTTGGAAAATAATTCAACACTATGGAGTGTCCAAATCTTTAAAAACTTCATTCAACAGCTACATGACAATGCCACGTGTCAGGTGATCCACAACGGAAAACTCAGCGAAGTGCAGGTAGAAGTAAGACTATCATCTACTATCACCGATGGTATTCTTAATTCTGGTGGACTGGATGATACGTAAGACTATGGAGAAGTGAGAAGCCTGGAGTACGCTGAACCGATAAGAAGACTCTAGAAGATCTGGATTTCTCAGGTGATTTATGTCTAATTTCACATAAACTCGAAGACTTACAGGCGAAAACCAACAAGCTAACATGAAGAGCAGAGAGGGAGAAACTTCAAGTGAATAATTCAATACTGTGGAGTGTCCAAATCTTTAACAATTTCATTCAACAGCTACATGACAATGCCACGTGTCAGGTGATCCACAACGGAAAACTCAGCGAAGTGCAGGTAGAAGTAAGACTATCACCGATGATATTCCTAATTGTGGTGGACTGGATTACACGTTAGACTATGGGGAAATGAGAAGACAGGAGTACTCTGGACCGATAAGAAGACTCTAGAAGATCTGTATTTCTCAAGTGATTTATCTCTAATTTCACATAAACTCGAAGACTTACAAGAGAAAGCTAACAAGCTAGCAGAAGGAGCAGAGAGGGCAAGACTTCAAGTGAAAATAGAGGAAATATATGTAGTGAAAATAACCAACTAACAGCAACAAGAACCAATCACCAACGGGTCGGAAACTTGGCGCATCACGGAGAGCATTTCTAACAGGCTACTGCAGACTTTCAACAACAGCTACCTTCGCTAGCTTCACACTGAAGATCAAATGACTGGACAGAAAGGATTAGCAGCAAAGGGAATCTGAAAACGAACCAACCAACAACCTATTGTCTAACAAATATTCCGAATAAACTGGAGACGGATCGGACACACGCTGAGGAGGCCATCGAATGACATCGTGCGCCAGGCCATCGTTCGAGTGAAACTCGAATAGGAAACAATCAGTCAGGCGTCCAAGCGTGACATGGAGGTCGGTCGGTCGGTTTTCGATTTAGAACTTCGCACTGATGTGCGGCAGTTCAAGTCGCCACACTCCATGTAGCACACAAAGCAAGAGAAGAAAGTAGGAGAAATGCATATTAGAGACAGTAAACAGAGGTGTGAGACAAAGGAATAGTAATAACGAAGAACAAAACAGTTTCATTGGAAATCATAAGTCACAAGGAGTGGATGCATCTGCGCCAGCCATTGGGAACGATTTTGAGCCATGTCACCAATTGTTTCCAACCAGTGGTTTTTACTCTCCCGAGGACCCCAACCAGTCAGGAAGTCTACACCTTCCTACGTGGCTTAGACTAACTGTTGTAGATTTCATTGACTGGTGCCATGTTTTGGTTTGAACGACGCTAGCTCTTTTCCAGCCTGACCTTATATCAGCTAACATTGCCCACTGTCGAGGAAGGCGATGACTAGGCATACGTAGCACATGTCCCAACCATCTCAGTCGATGTAATTTCACAGTCTCGTCGACTGATTTCCCCTCCTTACCTAGCACTCGACCGATGCCTAACCTCAATATTGCTCACCTTATTATACCACTTCACGCGGGAGATAGAACGCAGACACCTATGATCGAAGACAGCTAATCTTTTCATGTCTTCTGCTCTCAATGGCCAGGTCTCACAGCCATAAAGGAGGACGCAGCGGACTGTTGAGTAGTACGCATGGAGATCGTATGAATAGGAGATGAGAGCGTATGGGCAATCGTGGGGCCAGTTGAAGGGGACTGCAGAGAACAGAACCAAATGGAGATGTTCTGTTGAAACCCTATGTTCTACTCATAACCAAAAGGGATAATATTAATAAACAGTCACTTCCTACATTCCCAAACTCATGCTGCTTAATGACAAACAGTCAGACAGAAAAAGCAACACGGAGACACGTAAAAATAAATGATAGCTGAATGATCCTTAAGCATAATCATAGAGATTTATGAATTAGCTATCCCTGAAAATATTGTGATATTCTGTTTCCAAGAATCTTATAATATTTACGCTATACTAACATATACGTATCATGACTCATGGACAGGCATGAAGATGTAGTAAGAGTGTGCAGAAACTACACATAAAACGCACACAGGCACACACACTTTGCATTACACTAATCAACAGGAATTAGCAGACCTTTGATTTTATCTATCCTTTAAACAAAGCTAAATATTACAACTGACGGTCAAATACTGATAGTGCAATTAAAGTTTAAGCTTAAGAATCAACCTCTTCAGTTGAAATAGGATTTAACTAAGCGCCTTAGACACTTGACGTTTATACCACGGAGTCATAAGTCCGATGTTTGTTAACCTGAAATACGTGTGTAATAAAAATTCATCATCAACGCTTACGCACTCGATAAGGCTGACAACAGACTAATATAGGAAAATGCAAGTGCCCGCTAAATTGCATTATCTATTCATAGTTCATAATAACATCTAAAAGCCTACTAAGTAAATTTGTGGTCACGTATTCACTTACAATCATCCTGGAGAGAATCAAACAAGCCCTGGATGAAAAGCCTCAACCGGAACAGGCTGGATTCAGGAGGAACAAATCATGCGTCGATCAAATCGCCACACTATGGATCATCATTGAACAGAGCTTGGAATGGCAGTCAGCTATCTCTCTCTCAACTTCATTGACTTTGAAAAAGCCTTCAGCAGAAAGCGTCGATCGAGAGGTGATTTGACAATTACTTCGCTACTACGGGATGGCGCCAACAATTATGCATCTCATCCAACAGTTGTACGAAAATGCTGGATGCCAAGTAATCCACAACAGGAAACTTACGGAATCCTTCGAAGTGAGGACAGGAGTAAGACAAGCTGGCTGCCTACTATCGACAATGATTTTCCTGATTGTAGGCGGTAGACTGGATAATGCAACAAGCAGTGGGCAGCGAGGCAACAGGCATATAATGGACCCTCACGAAAAACTTGGAGGATCTGGACTTCGCCGATGATATATGTCAGATTTCTCACAAACTGGAAGATATGCAAGGGAATAGCAACAAGTTGGCAGAAGAAGCATCAAAGATAGGACTCCAAGTAAACACAGAGAAAACAGAGGTGACGAAGATTCCTGGGCAACACCAACAGCAATAACAGCAACAGACAACAATCAGTATAAATGGAAGGAACCCGAAAGAAACAACCTCCTTTACCTACCTGGAAGCATCGTCTCAACTACAGGCGGACGGAAATGATGAGGATATCAAAGCAAGAATCGGAAAAGCAAGAAAAGCTTTCACTACTTTCAAGCCTGTGTGGAGGTCAACAGCACCTCAGCATGAAAAATAACATCTGGATTTTCAACTCCAATGTGAAGTCAGTCAGTGCTACTATACGGATCAGAGACTTGGCCAGCGCGTCATAAAGAGCATCTCAAACAAACTATAGACCTTCATTAACAGCTGTCTTCGCTCAATACTCAAGATCAGATGGCCAGCCAGAAAAGATCAGCAACAGAGATCTCTGGCAATGAGCGAACCAACCAGGAACCGATTGTGCAACAGATAGACAGGAAGAAATGGAGATGGATTGGCCATACTCTGAGTAAACCATCAAGTGACATCACACGACAGGCTATCAATGGGGTGGAACCCGAAAGGGAAGTGGCGAGTTGGTCGTACAAGGGTGACTTGGAGTGACATGGAGGAGGTCATGTGAAGAGGAGATGAAAATGTGTGGTCAGACTTGGAGCCAGGTGAAGACTCTAGCAGAGAACCAAACGCAATGGAGATGTGCGGCTGAAGCCCTATGTTCCTCTAGGAATTAAAGGAAATAATAATAATATTCACTTACAACATTACTCTACTTATTACCACCTGAAAGGAAATATAACTCTGAAAATATCTATCACTTGTTAAAACAATTAATTTTTTAAATAGAATTACACCAAAAATTTATAACACACTTTTTTACTTACAGACTACACGAGCACCAACTGGATACTTTTGTCTTAATTCAGCTGCTGAAAATGCTAACGCCAAGGATGACGGTCCAGATACATAGACTTCTGACCCTGAATTTGAAACTGAATCTAAACAGATTGTGTACAGAGTAAGTTCATTCTCTCTAGCTCTATCCTTATCTGACTTGGATTCCGATTTATTTCTATCCGGAAGATGACAGTATACAACACGACCAGGAAACCATGTATGTTCTGTTTTACGATATAAAATTGGTTGGGATGGTGTTAGTTGTCTATAAACATGGGTAAGGGGTGAAACAAAATATAATGATAGACTCAAAAATATTCATATATTGTGGACATACAAAACCTTTGAAAAGAGAATATATATATATATATATATATATATATATATACAAAACAAACCAGCAGAAACTGAAATGAAACAGTTGTATTTAAATCAGCAAAAGTAAAATGGACGGATGGATGGATAGTCGTGAAAACCAGCTAGAGCAGCAAACTCAAAGGTTTAGTTTTGAATGTCTACGCCACTAATTAACACAGTTACACTGGAACACTTCCAATCGACTATTTATCCATATACATGATGCGCTCAACCGTACCGAAAATTATTGTAACACGTTTCAGTTTATTAGGCAGTAGATAATGAAGAAGCAAACTGTTATTGATGTAAAACAGTAACTCAGATATACATACAGTTGATGGAAATGTAAAGCCTATCGTTTCCCTTTACATCACGCCTATCATAAAAATCTATCGTCATTTCAAAACAGTGCATAAAACTATTTTAGAAGCCTTCCAGTAGTTTGTATTAATGATATTGGGGTTTAAACGGAAGTATCATTGATATTTCAGAAAAAAATGTGAATAATTACTCATGATGTCGTAAATTGGAAGTCTTGTATTCTGAAGGTCCTGGGCCCGACCTCTGGTAGAGTCACGCACTGACGAAGAGTCCCAAACTAGAATTAAACAGCTGTCCAGTGGTCCCTGGTTCAGTGGAAGAACACTCGCCAACCAAGCTCCACGTGGTTCTGAGTTTAACTACCGGTCGACGCACTACCTTACCCTACTTAGCCGGTACCAAACTCTGTAAAGATGGAGGCTAGAAACTCCACCCTGTAAAAAACACTACTGTTAATGAAACTTCAAAGCCCGCGTTCTCCTAGGATCACAAGCGAATGAAAGAAGATGCTTTAAATCAGTTTTAACATGAACAACTTAAACATGAATAGAATAGAGAGCGAGTATATATATATATATATATATAATGACCACTTCCCTACTATATCTCTACTCTTAGTAAAAGAAATCTCTCCTTGACACGATCATCTGACCTTTTCACTCGGCGCCCAAATATTTTAGAACTATTCTGTCAAATCTTGACGACAGTTCATTTGAGTTATTTTGCAATCGAATTAAATTAACAAAGAAACTGTGTAATTGGCACAATCATCGTGTTTTCACTCTCCGTTGTCTGCAACAGAATGCATATCCTAAATCCGTAGCTATCGAGTCACCTGACAACTCCAGTAGGTCGAATAAAGCAGCCCAATCTTCAAAAAGAAGACAAAGCAATAAGTTCGACAGAGTGCACCAACTAAACTCTAATCCTAAACACAATAATTTTGAAAATACGTCTAATCATAAAATCCTAGATACTAACAGTTTGAACAGACATGAAGGTATGATGTTAGCTGATGCATAGGAAATCCTGATTAATAAATAAAAATGGATATGTATCACTAATTATTAATACTTGGTCAAAATTCCCGATTGTCTATATTTTGTTATGGAGACGTTAACAAATGTTTTACAAGTATTTACCCACACACACAAACACACTTTGTTTAAAGTGTTTAACAAAGGTAGACCAATATTTGTAAGTCCGAGGTCAAATTTTGATCACAGCTCATACAATTTTGTTTATTATACACGTTGATACCTGTTTCATGACTGATGATTGGAAAAGGTTTTTTAAAAACAAGAGATGTTCCTTTTATATATATATATATATATATATATATATATAAACCTCTGTTATGTTAATTTCGATTAATTTCCCTGAAGAAGTTCAGACCAGATTGCCGAACGAAACGTTGGAATTACTCATTTCAATCTCGCTGAGATTTTACAAATATAATTTTTTACAAACTTATCACTCTGCGCCCAAATACTTTAGAACTATTCTGTCAAATCTTGACGACAGTTCATTTGAAAAGAATAGTTTGTTTACATACACAATATTTTCGACAAAACACTTACAAACCAAGAAGTAATTCAGTTGGTTGCAATGTTCTCCAAGCAGCTGCAGTAAATAGATTTCCAATAGATGGCAGAGCAACACTAAACCGAAATCACCAAAAATTTTAAAAAATAGAAAAAAAAAATTAGGATTTTGTAGAAGTTCTCATGCTTATATCTAAGTAAATAAAATGAAGCATAAAATATCAATCATGTATATGCGAAATAAATATATACTACAAACAAATATATTTTTTATTTGATTATTATAGCTTGATTCCACACCGTATTTTTGGTACAAGTATGGAATTTTCAGCATGTGATATCGGTAGCCCAATTTTGCAGGCCGACCATAGATATCGGGTGTGCGCCGGCAGGGGATCGAACCCCGTACCATGTGCATGGTCGGCGAGAGTCCTAACCACTATGCCACCGACGCACAGTGATGCGTTGATGACTCAACAACAGAATGTTTGCGAGCCACACCAGTTGAGTTGCCAGCCAAGGTAGTGTTAAACCTCGCCTAGCCAGTAGTAAGCCCTGAAAAGAGGGAAGGTGGGTTAGCATTAAAACAATACCACTACTACTACTACTACTGAAACTTACAAAGTTGCTCTGAAAAAAAAGAAAATATATACATGATTACATATAAGCCAATTAATCATTCGTTTGATAGTCTCAATTGATTTTTGTAGACCAATTAAATATGCAGTATGACGAAATGATATTTTATGGTTAAATGCCTACTACATTGAAGAACTATGACCCACTGAATTAGAGGTTAACGCAGTTTCATACATTAGAAAAATAGGGATTACGGTTTAGAATGAAATTATAAAACCCGATAGTCTGGTTGATCTGAGTATGGTGGAAGTAGACAATGATGTCAAATACCACAAATAAGTTGCATGCTTTCAGTACCATTAATAAAGGATGAAGGCGATAATAAAATGAAGAGTCCTCTGAACACCTTGAGCGAAAATTCCCCAAATGTTTTGCATGCGATTTGCTCCTATTGGATGTTAGGTGGTGCTACAGGATTGGACTACATAGACTCTTAGCTTGAAGATACGGAGTGAAATGGTACAGCATGCTGACCATTTCACTTATTATTTGAGTTGTATAAGCTCTGGTAGACTGATTACTGATGAAGTCTCAACAAGAGGCTTGTGTGTGGCATTTGCCAGCCTATGTCATCTCGGCAGTAGACGTAATTTCCGACTATCGATTAAAGAATATGCATACTGCATATCATTTCGCTCTGTCTTCATTTATAGCTGTGGCACATGGACATTGAAAGTGTGAAACATGGAAAGGCTAGCTGTCTTTGATCACAATGTCTGCACTCTATCTCCCGTGTCAGGTAGTATAATATGGTGAGTAATACTGAGGTTAAGCGTAAAGTGTTAGACAAGGAGAATAGGTCGATCGATGAAGTTGTTAAGTTAGTTATATTGATTGAGATGGCTAGGACGTGTTACACAAGCCTAGACATCGACTTCCTCGACGAACAATGAATGGTAGCTGAAAAAAGGATCAGGTTGAAAAAGAGCTAGTGGTGGTCAAACCAAAACATGGCATCAATCCCTGAAATCTTGCACTGGTAGCTTGAGCCACGTAAGGAGGTGTGGGCTTCCCAGTTGGGATTCTCGGGTCTCCAAGAACCAATGGCTGCAGACTATTGGTTATATGGCTTGAAATCGTTCACAGTGGCTTAGATGAATTCACTCTTTGTGACCTCCAATTTCTATTGAACCCTAATGTTCTTCCATGTTATCATTCTTGCTCCCTTACATTTCTGCTTATCGGAGTTGTTCTGAATCACTTTCTCTCTCTTTTGTCCTTCTTTGTGTAGTACATGGGATGTAGCAACTCAAACTGCTGCACTTCTCTGAATAGTTCTATGTTGAAACCAGTCATTCAGCATTAGTAAAAATCTACCTAATATTACAAAAAGCGTACACCTTCAATGAAACCTAGATATCTGTCTATCAATATAGTTAGAAAAAGTGGTTCTGTCAAGCACCTCCTCAAACAACAATCACATATTTCAAAGGTGAAATAGCCTGTTCTGAAGTCTCAAAGGCGCTTATCTGACTATAGTGATACGTGCTAAATTTCGATCATTTTCTATTAACTGTCCCATAAAAAAAAAATTTACGAGACGTATTTTGTAAGGCGAGAACAAGTAGATTATAAATGTAAATGAAACCACATATATGGCTCAGAGTTCGACCTGCAGCAGATGCATCCCTAAAAGCCCTACATCCCTAGCCAGTAGTAAGCCCGGTAGAGAGGGAACGTTGAGCATGAGGCTACCAATCCCACCCAGTAGGAAATGATAACATCACTGCTACTAAAAACCTCAAAACTCAAGCTTGAAGTCCTATATTCCACTCAGAACGTAAAATAATAAAATAATACATAAATAAATAAATAAAACATACGGATTTGGATTTTCAATGACTACAATTTCTTCTTCTTCTTTGGCTAAATCAATGATACGGTTATCGAATAAATACAGAACACGTCCAAATACACTAGTGAATTGAAAACAAAATAAATCTTAGTGAAATGATATACTTTATTTGAAGCTCCGTCATTTCGTTAATTACGGAGTCAAGTTTTTCACTTAGTTCGAATATGGTATTGTGTAAAGCCAATTTTTCCTTATTTATTTCATCCAATCGTGTAGTCATACAAAGCTCTGGAAAAGCGTTCATAATCTCGTCCAGTAAACCAGACTCTTCAAAAGCCAAAGGGAATCGCTGCTGAATTATATGAAATCTAAGTTTAGGATTATTTACTAAAAATTATAATTGTTTATTGGTAATAATAAGTATATTCTCTTACCATCATTCAATTCAGCTTCATATTTACATTGTACAAAAGCTAAAACAATTTCAAACATATGATCGAGATTTAATGCACTGCAGATAGTCTCAACTATTTCATCCGCAACGATTTCATTCTCAGATTGTAATTGACCAATCATCGTGTTACCTAAATAAAACATAATAAATGAAGTCAGTATGCACAACAGTTATATGATGAAAAAATAACATACATCGGTACACGCTTAAAGACAAGCTGTCGAGGTTATTTCTTCAACTGTTAAGCAGCTTATATACAACATTAACTATGGGTAATTTTTTCTCAACATACTATCAGGTTATTATTGGCAGTAGTTTAAAACGCAAAATAGCTAGCACAATACGATGACGGACTGACACACAATCAAAAATATTTGCTGAGAAGTGCAACACTTCAAGTTGGTGTAATTGAGGAAAGTATGCATAGAGAGATTCTCACAGTAATGTAAAGAAACAGAATGATACTATGATAATGACAAGTGAATACATCTGAGCCATTGTAAACGATTTCGCATTATAACATAAAGAATCTCCCAACCATTGATTCTTAGCATCTCAGATAATCTGCGTCACCCGTTAGTTAGTGATTTCATTAACTGGTGCCATATTTTATCAGTCTGACCACCTGTAAATCTTTCCCAAACTTATCTTTCTTCAGATAACATTGCTTAACAAGGAAGACAGTTGCTCGGCGTGTCCAAGCCATCTCAGTCGACAGAGGTCCATCCCATCCATTGAGTGACAGTTTTTATCTAACCCTACGCCTAATCTCATTACTTACTCCATTACTTGCTCCATTTAACATTCAAAACTGAGAGAAGATACCTTTAAACACTTCTGAACTCAAACCATCCAATTTAGTTGCTTTATCTTGTTTCAAAATGAGAAATTCTGTGAAATACGGTCAAGGTTGTAGTGTCGATATTTTATTGACACTGAGGTTTTACACAAGAAAACTGCTTATCATCAGTAGAAACGTCTGACGTAGCCCTAGTCCAACATGTCATGAAGCCCACGCGCTATGACTCACAGCACTCCTCTTCAACTCTGGACCTAGTGTTCTCCCACGGTGAAGATGTGGATCTCATACAACATCTTCCACCTTTAGGAAGTGATTATGCTATGCTCACTTTCAAGATCACAGCAACAGCATCAAGGGCTAAAACCCCAGCTCAACCAAACGTTTGGAAAGCCAATATAAATGCGATAGTCTCAGCAGCCAACTCAGTGAACTGGTACATCAACCCGTAGTCCCAAATAGAAGCAGTATGGAACTAATTTAAACAACTTCACGCCCAAGTAACTGAACTTTTCATCCCTTGATCTATCTCAAAGGGTCGGAAACATTGCCCCCTTTGGATAAACCGAGAGATTAGTAAGTTACTCAGACGTAAACACAAATGTTGGAACCCGTTTGCCACACCTGAGACTCCTGAGACCAGGAAATTATTTAACACTGCTAGGAACAAAGCTATTGCAGAAATTCGCCAATGAAGGATAAAGTTCGAAGCACATCTGGCTAAAAATTCAAAGGTACAACCAAAGAAAATTTTATCGTATATGAACTTCAGAAATAAAACATCCAATGGTGTCCCAAACCTGACTATTGACAATGACACAATCGAAGAAGATCAAGAAAAAGCAGAAGCAATGGCAGACTACTTCTCCCAAGTCTTTACACAGGAGTCATCACTCCCTATAGGATCAGCTCTGGATGCGTCAGAGGAACACGGGGTAAGATTCCGTTGAAACCGACCAAGACATCGTGCTCAACTACCTAATGAAACTAGATGCAGGGAAATCAATGGGTCTTGATAGTCTTCAGACAAGGCTTCTCAAGCAGCTATCAGCTCACATAGCCGGCCCACTGACCATGATCTTTAAGCTATCTCTCCTAAACGGTGTGTTACCGCGTGACTGGAAAGACGCTACAAAGGACGATCAAGAAAAAGGCCTTCAAATTACAGGCCTATGAGTCTCACCAGGACACTGAAAAGAATCATCAAGGAAAGTATCATGGCATATCTGGTACACAATAAAATGTTATCCAGAGCACAGCATGGCTTCTGAAGAAACCTCTCATACCTGTCAAATCTCTTCACTGCAAGCGAAAGCTGGATCAAATCAAGGGACAGTAGAAGACCCGTGGAAGTTGTCTTCATAGACTTCAGCAAAGCCTTCGATAAAGTTCCTCACAAAAGACTACTCATGAAGTTGGAAAGTCTTGGTATCAAGAGCAGGTTACTAAACTGGTTTAGGGAATTCCTCATAGATAGGAGGCAGAGGGTTAGGATCAACTCGAAACTCTCCTCTTGGACAGCAGTGCGTAGCCGAGTGCCACGAGGAACAGTATTCGGACCTCTCCTATTTATTTTGTGTATCAATGAGTTGTTTGTGCTCACGGATTCCCCAGTGATCCTATACGCAGATGACTTAAAAATCTGGAGAGAGCTGAAGGGTGGCAATGATACGCTTAAGTTGCAAGAAGAGCTTAACAAGTTGTTAGAGTGGTTCAGAAAATGGATGCTCCCGATCAAAGTAGCACAATGTGCAAACATGCTCATTGAACACCCGGAATCCCATCAGTTCAAACTCATTTGGATTTAGGTGTCACACTAAGCCATGACTTAAAAACTACAGCACACTGTCGCGCAGTGGCTACACGTAGTTTCAGATCCTATGGGGCAATTCGTAGAGCCTTTACTAGAATCATCAGAGACACATTCACCTCTTTACATACATTTCTGGCGGGGTCAAGGATGGAAAACTGTATCCGAGCAGCCAGCAAGTCGTTGTCTTAAAGGGGACTCACATATTCTAGAAGGGGTTCAAAGGAAGGCAACACGTATGATTCTTGGCATGACTAGTTTATCATACGAGGGGAGACTAGACAGTTTGAATCTCTTCTCTCTATCGTACCGCCGGCAGAGAGCAGATTTAATTGTAATGTTTAAAATTGAAAATGATGACTATGGACCTGATCTGTTCTCCATTTCCCTTCCCGCTAGGTCGGAACACCTTAGAGGACATAAAAGGAGAGTTCAGAAGCCAAGGAGAAACCATATATGGCTGTAGAGTACTGGTCATCACGTGGAATCCTAAACTCTTGGAACCGACTCCCAGAAGCAGTGGTGTCTGCATGCTCAACTGATTCGTTCAAGAAGGGTTTGGACAACCACAGAAATTTACTAGAAAATGATTAACATAGGCTCCAAGCCTTCTATCCTCAACCGAAAAATTTGAATATTAGACTTAAAAACATAAGTCCTTGTCACCAATAAAAAAGAAAAATTACCAAATTTTCAAAAACTTTTAGTACGTCGAAGACATTATGACAACTTAAACAAGCCCTGTCCGGAGTTTCTGCAATGAATCCAGAGACATGGCAGCTTGGGCAGGTATATTTTACTATTATTGTTTCCCTTAATTCCTAGAGGAACATAGGGCTTCAGCCGTGCGTCTCCATTGCGTTCGGTTCTCTGCTAACGTTTTCACCTGGCTCCACATCTGCCCACATGCTTTCATCTCCTCTTCACATGACCTCCTCCAAGTCACCCTTGGATGACCAACTCGCCACTTCCCTTTCGGGTTCCACTCGAGATGGCTTGTCTAGTGATGTCACTTGATGGATTCCTCAGAGTATGGCCAATCCATCTCCATTTCTTCCTGCCTATTTGTTTCACAATCGGTTTCTGGTTGGTTCGCTCCCAGAGATCCCTCTGTTGCTGATCTTTTCTGGCCATCTGATCTTGAGTATTGAGCGAAGATAACTGTTAATGAAGGTCTGTAGTTTGTTTGAGATGCTCTTTATGACGCGCTGGCCAAGTCTCTGATCCGTATAGTAGCACTGACTTCACATTGGAGTTGAAAATCCGCATCCTATTTTTCATGCTGAGTGCTGTTGACCTCCACACAGACTTGAGAGTAATGAAAGCTTGTCTTGCTTTCCCGATCCTTGCTTTGATATCCTCATCAGTTCCGTCCGCCTGTAGTTGAAACGATGCTTCCCGGGTAGGTAAAAGAGGTTGTTTCTTTCAGGTTCCTCCCATTTATGCTGATTGTTGTCTGTTGTTGTTGTTCTTGTCCAGGAATCTTCATCACCTCTGTTTTCTCTATGTTCACCTGAAGTCCTATCTTCTCTGGATGCTTCTTCTGCCAACTTGTTGCTTTTCACTTGCGTATCTTCCAGTTTGTGGGATATCAGACATATATCATCGGCGAAGTCCAGATCCTCCAAGTTTTTTGTGTGAGTCCATTTTATGCCTGTTTCCTCATTGCCCGCTGTTTGTCGCATTATCCAGTCTACTGCAATCAGGAAAATCATTGGCGATAGTAGGCAGCCAGCTTGTCTTACTCCTGTCCTCACTTCGAAGGATTCCGTAAGTTTCCCGTTGTGAATTACTTGGCATGCAGCATTGTCGTACAGCTGTTGGATGAGATGTATAATTGTCGGTGGCACCCCGTAGTAGCGAAGTAGTTGCCAAAGCACCTCTCGATCGACGCTGTCGAAGGCCTTTTCAAAGTCGATGAAGTTGAGATAGAGAGGTGACAGCCATTCCAAGCTTTGTTCAATGATGATCCGTAATGTGGCGATCTGATCAATACATGACTTGTTTCTCCTTAATCCAGCCTGGGCAGGTATAGCAAAAGACTTGTTCCTATGGAAAACGTTTAGAAATAAAAGAGCAATGGTGAGGGTTAGCTGTCAACTGTTCTGGTCCCAGATACCGAAAACTATGGGATTACAGCAGACATTTTGAGCAGAGAACCACAGGAAGTTTGGACACTACTTTTGGTGTGACATAGATTCACTAAAAGCTATTAAAGCCACTACGATCCGTTCTAATTTTACGAAAATAGGCTGGATACACATAATGGAAAAAAATTTTGCATGAGAATATATTTTATAATTACCATCCTTGATTTGCAAGCCAAAGAAAACACTGAACGACGAACGCTACCCAATTTGTCTGCAGTGACAATAGAAGCTTCTATTGTCACACGTGTGTTGCTTATGATTTTGACAAGAAAACTGAATGACCAGTGAAAAAATTTTTATTATACGCATCACAATAATTTAAGGCAATCAAATTAACTACCTGGCCTTTTGCCCTGATTTTCATGCACTTATCACTTATAGAAGTCCCATATTTTAGTAACACAACGGTTGAAAAACGCTCCTTATATTTTAGTTTCAATCCTGCTTATAAGGAGTTCATATACTGGATTTTATTGCAAGTAAAAGACTTTAAGTCAGTTTTGTAAACATATTATTTGCAGTACTTAGTGGGGATACCTGTTACTTTAATAAGATATAGTTAGCTCCTACCTTTAGAAATTCCCTACTACGTTCACTGAGATGTTACAACCTGGTGCAGAGGACATGAACAGATACATCAGGCCCAAAACCATTTATGAGCATCGTCACGAAGTACATTCCTTGCCAAAGACAAGGCTAGGAGAATGATTTCAGTCTTTATAGGTCCTAGCAGTAGGTAATTCCCCAGAATTATTAACCACGACATTAATCACTGAACATTAGATGCTGACCGTTACTGCTTTAGTCTATTTGTTTAGCTGAAGGCCTGAGGTCAAGCATCCATGGCGTTTGGCCCATCGTCGTGTTACGTTCGGTTGTTCGTGCAAGATTCCTACCTGGGCAATCATTTCTCACTCCCATTTGATCCCGAAATATAATTTTCTAATTTGAACAATCAATTCCGGTGTTTTGTTTTGCCTTTGGTCTATGAAGAACGAATACTATAGAACTTTTGAGCATGACATCTTTCGTTAGTATACTCCTAACTATTTTGTTAACGTTAACAACCACAGCATCTAAAAGTCTTCGTGATATGATAATTCCACAGCTAGCAACCATGTCTCATACTGCTCAGATTATAATTTACTGTGACACCTAGTTATATGTCCCCTTGAACTGAACAGGAAAATTTCCCCTTAAATTCTATGTGCGTCAAAATTTTCTTTTCCTGAAGCACTATTGTGAGGCGGCCAATAGCTCACCCCAGTAAGGAGTGTATTGAAACCTGATGACAGCTCATTTCACTATCTTATTCAGCCTCTCATAGAATTTTTATTTCGACAGCAGATCGAATTACAAGTGGACGTACTTGAGGATCCTACATAATTCAATGATATGCAGAAGAAAATGTGGTGAGTCTAGCACAGTAATTTTCGAAACGCCACTTAACACTGTCATCCGATAAGAGAATTTGAAATTGACCCATCGATGCCAATCCCCAAAGAAATGAAATTCATTGATCTAGGTAGTTAGGCTGCTGGTGTCTTCATTCTGGCATGAGCCGTTTTGTCAAAATGTGTCCCTAAAAACGTTTCAATAGTGAATTTTTTCAATAAATGCGAATGAAATTAACTAAGCTCTGTCTCTTGCAGTCAGATTTGTGTGCTGGACAAAAAATTATTCTATTATGAATGAGTCTTAACTGCCATCTTCATTCCTCTTCTTAGCTGGTATTAAAACTTTGTGAACTTTGGTTTGTAATAAACGCTACTGTTACAGTATTCCACTCAGGTCGTAGCACCTTAACTGACTGGTTACATGAAGTGCCAGCTCCTTCAGAGACCTTCAGTGATTTTTCTTTAGTATTATTAATATAAGGAATCTACAGGAATGCACAACCAGTGTACACTGTATTCACCATGCCACTATTCAGTCAAAACCTAATTTGATACTACCTTTTATTGTCTTTCGACTCCAGTATTAAAGATGATTTGTGAAGGACCGGTCACTCAGAGACTCGGTGGGTCAATGAACTGGTACCAACAAACCTAATCTCACTGACCCAGCGTCCACCAAACTGCACAATATTTCCGGCGTAGATGCGTAGGAAGAAGAAGAGGCAGCAACACCACGTCCTAAAGCACAGCGTCTCCTGGTGTTCGGTTGCTACAATTTCCATCTTTAACAAGCGACGCGAGTTCGAATCTCAGAAGGGACATGATTCACTTCAAGGCCGCAGATACACCTTAATGACTAGTGCCAACTAGTACGAAGCCTAAGTCCAAAGCTTCTGCCGATTGCCTTAAACTATCTAATATCATCAAATCAACGTACGTGTGATGGCGAGCTACCTACAATGGTGGCCACATTGCAAACCTGACTGATAGAATTCAGCCAGCACGAAAGAAAGGACTAGACACATCACACTAGTTACTAGTGTTCAATCAAAGAAGATATCCTTAAATGAAACGTGCTTTCGAACGATGCTAAAATACTTAACACTCGGATCAAAATACCTTCAGACTTTTTAGCCCAGCCAATCTAACCCGGTTGCAAGATTTTGCGCACCCCAATATTCATCAAATTACAAATAACTGGTCGTATGGAGTATTGTGGATTCATATATTTCCTCGAACACTGCTATTCGAGTGAGTGGCTCAGATTCATCAGCGTTGCTCCCATCAATAATACAAAAATCCTATTTCCTAGTAAGACTTTTGATTATTGGATAACCTAGCGCTGTAACTATCAGTAACTCGAATGTCGAACTATAGTATCACTCGTTATAACTGCTAACAGATCTCTTTATGAGATAGCAGCGAAAATAGTGCGAGCTAAGTTCTTCAACAGATCTTGCCGACATGGTCAATGCCTCCCTGGCCAACGGCTTAGAGAGCAGGCTAGACTATTACACCTAAACAACGCATTTAAGTGCATCCTTAAGGGAGGTGAACTAGTTCAAGCTGAGTGTACTGGCATCATTGGCATCTCAATTAATTTCATATATTTCGCTATTTGTCCTACTTTTTGCTTCCTTTACACATATTAGTCCGGCCCTTCTCTCTGATTTCCCTCCTGTGAGTTTTTATGTCATCCAACGTCCGCTTCAGCCTTCCACCCAGTCGTCTTGCCTCGCCTTCAGTTTATTCAGCTTACTCCAATCGCTCACCACCGTTTTCTCAAGAGTATTCCCTATCTCAATCTAGGGACTGTTTGAAGAGACTAAATTCGCAAGTTCTATGACCGCCAATGCTCTGGTACAATTTATGTATTACTCCATCCATGTACGAACGAATATACATACTTTAATCGCCTTCAGCAAAGATACAGCAGGATAGCTCTTAATGAAATCCACGAGAAACAAAGAACCGTTCAGAAAGGAAGGAAAGCCAGTACCTAGAAATCATAAGTCCTCTACAAATTTGTTGAAAAATTTAGGATATTGGATGTTTCCAAAGGGAGATTAATTTTTTTTAGTCAAGACATCGCACGTCTGACATCAAACAGTAGTTGTGGAATGCGCTTAATATGGTGGTATTTCTTTTGAGCATGTCAGATAGGCTAGGTTGTCTATTAGTCTACAGTCTTTCAGATGTCTCTTGTGAGTATGTTAGGGATTTCGGCAGTATGATGTTCACTTGGAGTTGTTAGCCGATTGTTGTCCAACAGATAAAGTGTGTCGGGAGGCTGAGACATATACAGTAATTAGGAAAACTATTTGCTAGTCTTTCTATATATATTTATTCCTGTTTATGCAGGAACATACCAATTGTACAGGCATGGATAAGTTATTATATAAATTACAGTTTGTTTGTTCAATCTAACATTAGAGTCAGTCAGAACAGTCTGCAAAATAGTCTGTCTGTGTAACACATAAAGAGATATAGAAATATTGTCTTCGCATTAACAAAAAACCCAGACTTCAGATGAATGTGATACAAATATCTGGGAAAAATATAGCTTGAAGTCAATTCTCCTATATAACTTTGTTGTGAACAGCATCCTTGAGTTAAAGTTTATTGGTGTATTATTTTGATTCAATAATGTATTTATTCCATTTTTTCAGCAGTCTAATCGTAGTTTTATAATAGGAAAGAAATTTGATCTTTGATACGAAAATTAGATAAGGTAATGTTAGATTGTTTTACTGCATCAAATGGGGCCGAGGTCGATTCTAGAACTATCCATTGGCGTCATTTGTGTCAGCATGGCAGACTGTACATGTTAGTTGAGTAATACATTGAAAACTGTTTGGAAACCAGTTGCTTCTTTATTTCAGATCAAGAATACTCCTTGTACAGAATGTTAGCCAGCGTTTTCAAGTGGTTGCATCGGATCGTTCATGGAATTTGAGTTTGAATTTACATAAATGGTCATTTCAGATTAAATGTTGGGTTGTTCGACCTCGACCAGGAGGTATATAGGAGTGCAGGCTGAGTAGTAATATCCCAGAAAGAGGAAGTATGTGAACATGAAAAGAACATTAATATTTTATGTATATAGACTTTAAAAAAAATTAATTGAAAAAATAAAACAATAATGACTGTACAGTTTTAGCTTGTAAAAAAAATAACAATGCTTTCGCTCCTAACATCTACAAGCCTGCTCAGTTTCTTGTCAAGATTCTATCCCATGGGCCATACACAAGTTCGCCAAACATCCTACAGGTCACCGTATTCAACAGGTTCTAGTCCTTCTAGCCACTTCTCTCTGAAATGTTACTTATATACTTCACAATAATCCTTCTATCTAATTACTATTATACTCCATTTTATCTCAACTTCCTAGGACTTTAATGAAGCTGAAATTTTTTCCCTCTTCTCATTTACACCCTTTTCTCGCGTAAAGTTCGGTTGCTCTGATGATAAAAAAAAACAACACTCATGTTTGAGAATAAATATATTTTCATAGAAAGCGTCATAGTTTTCCATGGTAAGACCAATATGGTTAGCATCATACATTGCAAATGTGTATTATCATTTCAAGTACTACATAGCTCCTTGTATTTATCTTGTAAATATACTTTTAATAATGTATTATTCATAATTGCATTCTATACCATTTTGCAGCTGCGCCAGATTTTCTTCAATTCCTAAAATAGCGTTCAAGCATTTGAAGGCATAGCACTCACACAAATATATGTTGTTTATCGATTGGTCATAACTATCATCGGGAAATGGAACGAATTTCGGGTTGTCGCTCAACTTCGATGGTGACCTTCGTGAAATATTTACAAAATAACATTTATAAGAATCTGTTCTGATTGCTTCTACTATAACTCAACAATATGAACTTTTTGAAAAAGTGATAATGTATGCTAATTAACAATTGTTATTCGTAACATAATTGATCGTGCCTGTAAAAATGGCATGCATTTCATGTAAACTTACCCGTTTATACGAAATATATATTATTATATTATTATAAAGTTTATTGATGTATTATTTTGATTCAATAATGTATTTATTCCATTTTTGTCAGCAGTCTTATGGTAGTTTTATAATAGGAAAGAAATTTGATCTTTGATACGAAAATTAGATAAGGTAATGTTAGATTGTTTTACTGCATCAAATGGGGTCAATTCTAGAACTATCCATTTGCGCCATTTGTATCAGCATGGCAGACTGTACATGTTAGTTGAGTAATACATTGAAAACTGTTTGGAAACCAGTTGCTTCTTTATTTCAGATCAAGAATACTCCTTGTACAGAATGTTAGCCAGCGTTTTCAAGTGGTTGCATCGGATCGTTCATGGAATTTGAGTTTGAATTTACATAAATGGCCATTTCAGTTTAGATGTTGGGTTGTTCGGCCTCGACCAGGAGGTATATAGAAGATTACGCTCAGCAGGGAGATAAAGTATGTATATATGGAAAGAACATTATTATTTTATGTACATATAAATGTTTATAAATGTATATCATTGTATAGTAAACACTACCCATAATCTAGTTGTTTTTCATGTAATTTTGCGAAGTCTTAGAGTTTATTTAGTGTCGTAATATTTATTGATGAGTCTAGGCGTTATAGTGTTCTAATAGCTCATGCGTTTCGGAAATAAGTGGTGCGGTGTCATAGTCAATGGGATGAAGCAGTTTATATAGCAAGCGTTTGAAGGTTATAATAGAGTGACAGGTCCTTATTTCTAGGGGTAAACTGTTCCAGATCTTAGAGTACATGACTATGAAGAAGTTTGCACGGAGTGCTGTTTTACAGCTTTTCCTTGATACTGTCCAAGTTTGGTTACGAAGGTTGTAAGAGCCTTCCGGTGAGAACTGTATCTCCTTGCTGTCTGAGAATGATATTTTATGCAAGACTTTAAAGAAGAATGTTAGGTTAATGCTCAGTCGTCTTATCCAGAGTGGGTCGATACCTAGAGTTATACACCTTGATGTGTAGTCCTTTTCGAAGTCAAATCCTAGTAGTTTAGACGTGAAGTATCGTTGGACACTTTCTATTTTAAGTTTGTCACTTACGCGAGTGCTGCTGAGAATAAATGGACAATATTCAAGTAGTGGTCTGACACAAGTTTATATAATAATAGCTTCGCCTCGTAGTTGTGGAAATTCCTGAGTATGCATCCTAGGAGCATCCTCGATTTACGCGTCTGTGTCGCCACTTGCTCAGAAAATGTCAAGTCACTAGAGTACCTAAGTCCTAGGTCAGCAACAATTTGGAGTTTAGGCAAGCCAATAGATTCAAGTACCGGTTTGATATTTATTGAGGGTGCACCGACACAGATCCAACCACATTTTTTAAGGTTGAATTTTAGGTTCCATTTGGAGGACCATGCGGTTACTCGATCTAGTTCTTCCTGAACAGCTTTCTGAAAGTACCCTAAGTCATCACAGTGGAATGTGTAAGCTACTTTAAGATCATCTGCAAAGATGAATGGTTTGCCAAGTGAGAAACAGCTGCATATGTCGTTGACATATAGAGTGAATAGGAGGGGGCCTAAGACGCTACCTTGAACTACTCCAGAAGTGACTGGACTAGGTTTAGAGTTTACAGAACCCAGTCTAACTACTTGGGACCTATTGTTAAGGAATGATTCAAGCCATCCTAGTAATGGGTTACGTATTCCTAAGGAGTTCAGCTTATTTATTAGAAGCAAATGGTCGACGCGGTCAAAGGCTTTGGAGATATCAAAGTAGATGACTAGTACTAGTTGTTGTTTGTCTCGGTTGCTAGTTATATAGTTAAAGGAGTCAAGGTGACATGTCATGCATGATCTGGATTTTAGGAATCCATGTTGGTTTGGACTTAGAATATTGCAGCTGAGCATATGTTTGAGGATATCATCTTTAACTATTCGTTCAATGATTCTAGATACTATGGGTGTAATATTGATTGGCCTATAGTTGTTGACTTCAGTTTTTGATCCGGATTTGTGTTTAGGTACTATAAATGTCTTTTCCATTTATCTGGATAGGTTTGGCTTTCTAGGGGCATTGTAAAAATCTTAAGTAATAAAACGGAAATGTCAGAACCACCGTGTTTATAAAGATACGATGGTATACCGTCAAAACCGGCATTACTAGAGCTTTTAAGAGTATTAACGGCTTGGTTAATATTAGAGTAAGTGAAATGAACTGTAGTGATTTGTTTCAGCGTTGAAGATAAAGGGAGTTCCATTGTAGATTGTAAACCGAGAAGTGGACTTGTGGGCTTAAGCTAGTTAGCTGCAAACGTCTCGTTAAACAGTTCACACATGTCTGTATAGTTTACCCTTGTTTACAAGGAGAGATGTTTTATGGCTTTGGCGATTCATTCGTTTCTTTAGGATTGCTGTGAGAGCTCCTACTCTGGTGGTGCTGGCTAGTGAGGTGCATTCTTCATTTCTCATACGCAAGTTATGAGCTTGCGAGATGGAGCTAAGAGTACTAAGTATTGACCCTAGTGTACTAAAGTCGTGTCGCCTGAAGTAACTTGTTGACAGTCTTTTCAGTTTCCCACGATCCTTTGTCTTTATGAATGACTTTCTATGTGGAAAAAGCTTTAGTGTTTGAAGTGGGATGACAGCATCTAAGCATGTGTTGGAGTTATAGTAAAAGATGTCTAGAGCTTTCGAGGGGCTATCTGTATAGAAGTACTCTCTCTGCATTCTGAGGATCTTAGCGTTGATTTCACTAGAGTCCAGTCTGCCTCACTGTAGTTCCTGTATGTTATTTGTTGTGAAGTAGGGGTGTGGGTCGCATTGCTACTTGACGGAAGTGGCAGTGCACACAGCACTGTCTTGTGGTCACTCCCTGAAAACTCAGAACCTACTAGGGTAGAAAGGGGACTTATATTGTGGCAGAAGATTAGGTCTAGTACGTTATTACCTCTTGTAGGGGTTGTGACGGTCTGCTTCCAGCCAAGTATATCCAGTGTGCCTAAGAACTTATCAAGTTTAGTTGGACCTGTGGGTATTTCCCAGTTGATTTCTGGTAAGTTAAAGTCTCCACATAGGATCTTATGATCGTAGTGGAGGGTGGATAATTGTTCTAGAGTATTAATAAGTTGGGTCTCGTAATTACTAAAGGTGCCAGGTGCTCTGTAGGTGCATCCAATTAATACTATTGCGTTATTTAAGTGTAAGTTAACCCATAAAGTCTCAGGCATGTTAAGTGTACTACTTTCTACCCGTGATACAGTAAGTGCATTCAGGAAGTACATGAGACAACCACCTCCTTTACCACCTTCCCTGTCACACCGAAAGTGTGTATAGTTATCTAAGCTTATCTCTTCATCCAGTATGTCCGAATTACACCAGGATTCAGTGATGACAATTATAGGGGG